ACGGAATTAGCTAATTGGCATTCGAAGGAACGCTGTTTGAAATCGAGAATCTACCGAACGTCTTTTTATAGCGTTTTCTCTTTCCTTCCGAGCGTAATTTGATAAAGTGCTCTTCCCATCTTGGTTTGAAATTCACTTGGGAATTGAACAGGGCCAGGTGCACGCGATTATTTTTGATGCAACCTGCATGACAACTCTCCCCATCGCTTTCCCAATCGCATGCAGTTGTGCAACACTTCTCGGCCACTTATATAACAGCAGAAATAGCCTCTTTTTGTTTTCGGAATAAAATTTTTCCCTTGTTCCAGTTTGGTTATATAACGAAAAATTTTGCATTTATAGTGACACAATGTGATTGTTATTATAATTTAAACGCTGGAAAATATTATAATGTAAACTGAACTGTAGCTCTTCAAAACTTAATTTAATTTTAAAATTTTGTCACTATTTACGGGATGAAATGTTTGGTTCACAGAAAAAAAAAGTTACGATTTATTATTGTAACTTGTATTGTCATGAGCTAAATAAAATAGTCTCTTCTCTTCTAATGTCCGGTACTGCTTATTTTTTTAGATGTTTTGAAGTAATTATATCTTTTTTTTCTTCCAAATCAACGGGTAAATTTCTTGAAAAAGTCACCAAAATTTGCAAATTTAATTTACAAAAATAATGCTCTTGCAAACTATACAGTAAAAATTAACTTCTAATGGAACAAGTAAATTAAATAAATCGTAATTTTAAAATTTTAAAATAAAAATAGCTGCCGAGTACGTGAGGCGTGTGTGGTTCTGAGGTTTGCAAGAAATTTTAAAGTTTTATCAACTGATTGCACTGGTGCAATTTTATCATTTTAAATTTAAATAGAATGTATTTTTTATGTAATATTTTAAAATTTAAATAGCTATTAAAAATAATGTAACAGATAGCTGAGTGATATGAACTTTTATGGGCAAAATTTTATAGAAGTTGGAAATTGCAATGATTTTAAAAATCCAAATTTTTCATGCTGCTCTAATACATTGACGTAGACAAATCATGTTAAAGGAAAAATCCATCAGTATTTTATAGCTGCTAAATTTTTTTTCAAAACTGCACCAATTTAAAAGTAGCACAGAGCTATTGAACTCGCTCGATTAGGTTCACATCATAAACGAATAGGTGCCTCTATCGCTTTTTATCCGCACGCGCTATATTGAGAGCCCCTCATAAAGCGTTTCCATAAACGCGCCGCTTTTAACGCGTTATCTGCGATGCAGTAATTTTCTCTGTGTATTTGCTCAAAAGCGTGTTGATTTTCTAGCGCACGCTGGATGTGCGATAAATTATTTACCCTTTCTCGCGCGCGCTTCGGCCCAATCTGTCAGAGGCACCTGTTGACTCGCAGCCTGATAATGCCAGTGTCAATACCCCACTTCTGTCACCTCCAACGCCAAAGACAGCCCAAAACGAAGACCGACAAACTCATCTCCGAACCGTGTGCTGCTGCCTTTATCAGCTCAGAACTTTGCGCTTCTTCACAATAAATCTAATATTGCTGATAAACTAAAAAAGCACCAAACTGAAAGACAAACGTTTCAATAAAAGTACTTTGGTAGTAAAAAAAACAAAACATCTAATTGCATTTGAAAAGTTTGATTCATTTTAAAAATTTTATGAAGTGGTGCGTTTATTAAAAAATAGTAACAGACAACTCAAAATATAAGCCAAAAGACTCATCTAATTATATTCTGTCAATATAATCGAATAAAATATTTATTTTTATAGCTCAGCCAATAATAGTAATTATTGTAATTTAAGATTTTTAAATCCAGTGAATTGCAGTAATTTATTTTTTATAACCCATGACCTGAATTTTTTACTAAATCCTAGCTTGTTCTAACCAGAATGAAAATTAAATATTTTTTAATATTTTGTTTCTTTTGTCAATCACAAATAATTGTTTGTTTTTTTATTCGGCCAAGTTCATAAAAAGTATTTTCATAATAAAAATTATAATTATTTTGAAAATTTTAACTTCTTAATTTTACATGATGCTGATTAGCTGCTTTTTATTATATATATTAGAAAATCCACCAATGTATAGTATTTTTCAAAATATTTTCGTCATCTCCATCTGCATAAATATAATTTACAAAATTTACTAAAAAATAATTAATTGATGTTGAAAGCCACTTTGATAATTTAATTTACTTTTTGCTGAAGTTCCATATAAGTCAGAATTTCCTACCTGGCGACAGCATGTTGTTCTGGGTGGTTGGACTTCTGATGGCCGTGCCTTGAATTGCCAGCTGCTGTTTGGTCGAATTCCTCAGGGCCAAAGAGGACGGTGGCTTTGCCTTCTCGAGGCTCACCAAGTCCCTCGGCGTGGCCCTGTTGAGACTGGAGGCCCTGTTGCGGCTCACCGACCTGTTCGGAGACTTGGCTGTCACGGTAATGTTGGAACCAGCTGGCTCGTCGCCTGACGCGCTTGCCATGGGTCGCACCACAATTTGTACCTGGGGCCAGCAGATTGATTTGCACTGTAGCGTTAATTAATTGCAACCATCAATAAGGTCTGCGAGATTTATTTGAAATTGAAATAAGAAAACAAAATATAATCAGCATTAATAAGGAAGTAGATTTTATTCACATCCTTTTCGAAAATTCTGAAATTTAAAATGTGCTTGACTCAAGCAATTCTTTCATAATTGCTAGTGTTTTAGTTTTTGAAATTAAAAATTTTTCCATACAACTTTCTTTCGTATAACTGTAGCTAGTTTTTTATGCAATGCAAACTACAAACTACTGCTTACTGGAAAAATTGTTGAAATTTCTATTCTTCACTGTGCTTTAAAAAATAAGAAAGTATTTACAAACAGAAATATAGCTAGAATTTAATTTCCCAAACTAAAAATCTTCGTTTATGAATTATCTATTTTGCAGAGTAAATTATGTACTTCTACTATAAATTTTAAACATCATCGATTTAAATTAATATTTCAAAATGCTCAAATTTTATAATATTTTTTACGTAAGAAAAAGAAACTTTTTAATCAAAACCTTACACATTCAGTTGGTCCTCATAATTTGGATAACTACAACGTTTATTTAAAATTTTCAAATTAACATATATGTATGAATACCTCAAACTGCATTGTGTCATCCTCGTTGGTCATAATGTCCTGAATGGTGTTAAGCTGCGCCTCATCGCTGTCGTCCGACGTGAAGTCAAGGACAGGGTCACCGTAGCTGCTGGTGGTGTCACTCTCACTCATTTCCGAAAATAAAGCGATTAAGTCGGCACACTCGCGGCCACACAGACCCTCTCCAGGTGGGCGCGCAAGCGTGCAACCCTCCTCTAGTCGGGCTGCCCATCCGTGTGTGTTTCCAAACACATTTCTCAGAACAACTCTGCTCGCACTAATTTGCCTCAATTATACGAGAGCGTGGGAGGAACAGTCCCTTTACTATTATAGCCTCCCTCGTCTCTCGAAATCCCAAAACGGGAATTCTTGAGGTCCGGATATAGAAGCGCCGACGTTATTTGAAGGTCGAGTGGGTATCGAAGAGACGAGAGCGTTCTTGTCCTACCACCCGCGCAACTCGGCTGATTGACCGGTTGCATACAAAGGCGATTGCCAGGAGTTCGAGAAAAAATAGCTGCTGAAAATCGAGAGTATTCTAATTTTAAAGGGAAGCAGGTTATTATTAATTGATGCGTCTCTCTGCAGTTCCCTCAAACGTCATCGAGCCCAAAAAGACCAACAACATTTTGTAATAATGTTATTTTTATCTTTTTTTGTCATTATTATCAATAAAGCAATATTACAATTTAAGATAAGTATGTAGGCCAATAGTGAAACGAGCTATCAATAGGAGATGACCAATAGTATATAGTATAATTATTTGAATTACATGATTTTCGCTTCCTATCCTTAGTTCCGTAAACTTAATACCAAAATTTATTTCAAAAAAAAAATTTTTTCTTACATTTATTTATTAAAGATATTATTTATTTAATCTGATTAAATTTGTTTCATATACATACTTACAGTAATATTTGGAATAATTAATTAAATTTTAATTTCCTATTAATAATCTTGACTCTGAAAAAACATTCTTAACACAGTAACTCAGAGTGATAATGCACAAATACAAATATGCCTGAACGAGATACGAGATCAAATCGCAAGTGGAGCAACGCGCGGTTTACCATCAATATCTCTTTAGAACAATAAACACCTAATAATTAGTTCAAATCTAATAAAAATTTATTCACAAAATATATTTAATGCTCTAATATTTGTGTCACCTTTTCTTTGCTTTTCTAATGACTGTATTTTTTCATAATTATCAAAATTTTAATTTTAAAAAAATCCATAAATGAATTTTACTTTTGTATTAATTAATTTGATGTTGTGGTCTCAATTTATATACATGATATTCTCGAATGTAATTTGGTCCAATATTCTAATCAAACATCAATCTTTCCGTGCAAAAATGCGCCAACGAGTTAAAAAGGGGGAGCTTTCCTGAACGAAAATAGGCCTTTTCCCAAGAGTGCACTTAAATGATCATTATTCTATCCATTTTCATAATACAAGAATTTTATAGGCGATTTGGATATAACATGTGACAGTGTAGAAATCGTAAAAAATTTCCAACAATAAGATATGGTCAGAAACTGCGTGTATTTAAATAAAATATGAAATTTATTTTATGATCAAAATTTTTTGCATTGACCGGATGGGCCAAATAGTCGCGCATGCAGAATTTATGCCAAAAGTTTTTATGTTTACACATTTTCTGTTGTTTTCAGGCAGCATTATTTTCCTCAAAAAGAAAGTTGATTTTTCAAACAAACGAGACACTCAAAAGGAACAAGGCACCAACAATATCAAGTTAATGTTGCAACAACAACAAAAGCGCTCATTGATTGATATGCTCGTCTGCTATACGTTGGGAACAAGAGTTAGCAAAGATTCCCAGAGCGTTGGAGTACAAGAGATGCGAGATAAAGCTGCTCTCTATTTTGCCTCTTATCAATCCGTCTTTTCCAATATAAACTGAGGACAAAGCAACGTGATTTTATCACTCAAGACGACTCAAGATGAAAGTCGGCGTGTGCCTATTGTTGGCCCTTCTGGGTTCTGCCCTGGGCTACAACTCTTACTCAGGGTGAGTGAATTCACTTTTCTTTAAATATTTAAAATTTTCTTTTATATAAAAAAGGTATCAAGTACTGCAGACCAGAGTCTTGACAAATGAAGACGCTGAGCTCCTGGCGCCTTTCATGAACAGGCCTGAATTTGATTTTGTGATAACTCCTCGCGTAGGACGCGCCGCTGAGATCATGGCCTCTCCCGAAAACGTCGTAATCCTCAGGAATAACTTGAAAAGACTGAATTTGGAACCCATCATAATCGTCGAGGACGTTGGAATGTAATTTAAAAGATAGAGCATATGTGATTTATTACTAATTGAAAAAAAATTTAAAAAAGTTTGATCGAAAAGGAGAGGAGCGAAATCGCTCACAAGCGTGCTCTTGAAAAGAAGGAAGGCCGCGCCCCAGCCCTCGACAGGTTCCTCAGCTTTGATGAGGCTAGTGTTATTTTTTCTTAATAATTTTATATATTAAAAGTTTTATTTAATTCAGATTGAGGCTTACATCGATGAAGTCGCGGCTGCCTTCCCGAACATTGTCAGTGTCATTCAAATTGGCACCTCTTATGAAGGTCGTCCCCTCAGGGTAGTCAAACTCTCCAACGGCCCTGGAAAGAACGCGATCTGGTTCGACGCTGCCATCCACGCCCGAGAGTGGATCGCACCCCCCACCGCCCTCTTCGCCATCAATGAACTGACCGAAAACCTTGCCAACAACCAGGCTCTCCTGGACGCCAACGACTGGTACTTCCTTGTGGTTGCCAACCCTGATGGCTACTCGTACAGTTGGACTGATGATCGCCTTTGGAGAAAGACCCGTCGCCCCAACCCCGGCGGCACCCCCTGCGTTGGAACTGACCCAAACAGGAACTTTGACCAACACTGGGGAGGTAAAATTTTGCTAACAAATAAAATTCTTTGTTTCATATAAACTTCTTTAAAAAAAAGAGGCTGGCATCCCTTCACCGTGCGATGAAACCTTCCCTGGCGGTGCACCCTTCTCTGAATCCGAAACCAAGGCCATTTCGGACTTCATTTTGGCTACTCCTAGCATCACTTTCTATGTGGCCATCCACAGTTACGGACAAGTATTAAACTAAAAAATCCATGTAATTTTTTGTAATATATTCAATAAACTTTTTTACTTTTTAGTACATTCTATATCCATATGGACACACAGGTCTCCTACCACCCACTGTGGATGAATTGGTAAATTAAAAATTATATGATTCCACACTGACTTAAATTTACGCATAAAATACTGTTTTTCAATTTATAGGACCGCGTTGCACAAGAAGCCAACAACGCTATCACGAGTGTGAATGGAAACTCATATGATATTGGAACTACAGCCGGTCTTTTGTGTAAGTCTGATGATTATAATTAATTATTTTTTGCAGTGTAATTAAGTAATTAATTTTTTTGCTCCTCAAAAGCTAAGTAAATTATGGAAAGCAAATAGTTCATCTGATTCAAAACTTTTTACATTTTAGATCTCGCATTCGGAGTGAGCAATGACTGGGCGTATGACCAGGCCAACATTCCCTATGCTTACACCATCGAGTTGCCTGGAGGCGGCCTTGCAGGCTTCAACCCTCCTGCATCACTAATCGCTCCAACAAACGCTGAATGCTGGGAAGCGTACAAAGTTTTTGCAGCAAACATTCCTGCTGCCAGACGTTAAATACAAAGTTTTTAAAATCAATAAAAATGATTGTAAAATATTTTTCTATTTACTTTCTGACCATTAAAAATTCAAAGACTGAGAAATGAATTCATTTAAACTAAAGTACAAAAATATTAAATTTTATTTCTCCTTTAAACTATCTTTCACCAGACTACGACTAAATCAACCATCGAGCAATTATAAGGTGGCGTTGTGATGCAGCAATACGCTGGTACCTTATATTGTGGTAGGCCGCGCACTACATAATTTAAGTAAATAATATCCCACTTTAAAGTAGCAATGAAGACTTTTCATTTTTAAAATTTTCCCTCCAGTTTAATTATAAGTGTACAGTGGGGCTTATTTAATATTTATGGCCATTTATAAGAAATTTTCCCCGTTGAATACATTGCCTATTCTGATGCAAACAGTGTATAATTAATATTTACAGCTCAGTATAATTTTTACTTATTTATCCAGTCCGCTAATTTCAAGTTTTGAATAGTGCACAATATTTGGAATATTAGCAATATTCCTCTAATATGTTATAACTTAATGTCAACAATATTCAGTGTACTTAACACTTCAGGAGGTATATATGGTTCAAATTTAGTTGCTCTTTTATATTAATGTATACAATGTAATGGTTTAAATTACGTTATTGGAAGCAGCATATAAAACTTGCAAATATTTGAGGGGAATTCCAATGCAGTAAAATTATTCATATTGTCGACTTATTATAATCTTAATGTATAGATTTTGGCAACGACATGGAGAGATAATCATCAAACGTGGCACTGATAAATATATGTAAATAATATTCCAAATTTCATCTCAAAAATTGTAATCAACCTTCTACTGCGTTATTCTTGCCACTCAAAAGATACAAGTCACCAATCAAGATTATGCTGCTACAAAACAACAAAGCTCTCATTGATAGACGTCTGCTTGGTTGAAAAAAAGTTGGCAAAGATTCTCAGCGTTCAAGTGCAAGATAAAGCTCTTTTTGGCTTCTTATCAATACGTCCTTTCCAATATAAACTGGGGACAAAGCAACGTGATTTTATCACTCAAGATGAAATTCGGCGTGTGCCTATTGTTGGCCCTTCTGGGTTCTGCCCTGGGCTACAAATCTTACTCAGGGTAAGTGAATGGATTTTCTTCAAATGAATTCATAATTACTTTTTTTTTAAGATACCAAGTGCTGCAGACTAGAGTCTTGACAAATGAAGACGCTGAGCTCCTGGCGCCTTTCATGAGCAGGCCTGAGTTTGATTTTGTGATAACCCCTCGCGCAGGACGCGCCGCCGAGATCATGGCCTCTCCCGAAAACGTCGTAATCCTCAGAAATAACTTGAAAAGATTGAATTTGGAACCCACCATAATCGTCGAGGACGTTGGAATGTAAATTAAAAAATAGAGCATCAGATTAATTACTAATTTAAATAAAAAAAGTTTGATCGAAAAGGAGAGGAGCGAAATTGCTCACAAGCGCGCTCTTGAAAAGAAGGAAGGCCGTGCCCCAGCCCTCGACAGGTTCCTCAGCTTTGATGAGGTCAGTGTTCTTTTTTGTAATATAATATATATTATTTATAAAAGTTTTATTTAATTTAGATTGAGGCTTACATCGATGAAGTCGCGGCCGCCTTCCCGAACATCGTCAGTGTCATTCAAATTGGCACCTCTTATGAAGGTCGTCCCCTCAGGGTAGTCAAACTCTCCAACGGCCCTGGAAAGAGTGCGATCTGGTTGGACTCTGTTCTGCACGCGCGCGAGTGGATCGGACCGCCCACCGTCCTCTACACCATCAACGAACTGACCGAAAACCTTGCCAACAACCAGGCCCTCTTGGATGCCAATGACTGGTATTTCCTGGTGGTTGCCAACCCTGATGGCTACACGTTCACTTGGACAGATGATCGCCTTTGGAGGAAGACCCGTAGCCCCAACGCTGGCTCAACCTGCGTTGGAACCGATCCCAACAGGAACTTTGACCAACACTGGGGAGGTACAATTTATTTACCTAGCAGTTTTTTTTTGCATATTAAATAATTAAAAATTTTAATTCTAAAAAGAGGGTGGTATTCCTTCGGTATGCGATTTAACCTTCCCTGGCAGCGCACCTTTCTCTGAACCAGAAACCAAGGCCATTTCCGACTTCATTTTGGCGACTCCTAGCATCACCTTCTACTTGTCCGTCCACAGTTATGGAAAAGTAACTTGAAATTTTACCTTCATTTGCGCATAGTAAAAGTTTGATTATTTTATTTTCAATTCAGTACATTCTGTATCCATGGGGACACACAACTGCCCTGCCACCCACTGTAGCTGAATTGGTAAATAATAATTATTTCTCAATCAATGAAAACTGGAAAAAAACAATTCAAATTATAGGACCGTGTTGCACAAGAAGCTAATAATGCCATCCAGAGTGTGAACGGAAACTCGTACACCGTTGGCACCGCTGCTAACGTTTTGTGTGAGTTGAATAATAAAGTTACAATTTTACATTTATTCACTAAACTATATATAGGATTCTCGATTTTTGCCTCTTCAACGTTTAAAATAGAATTGTTTTAGTGCACCGGAACTTAAATATAAAAACTATATTTTTAATTTCAGATTTCGCTTATGGAACAAGCCACGACTGGGCCTACGAACAAGGCAATGTGCCCCTCTCTTACACCATTGAGCTGCCTGGCGGCGGCCTTGCAGGCTTCAACCCTCCTGCCTCACTTATCGCTCCCACCAACGCCGAATGCTGGGAAGCATACAAGGTTTTTGCAGCAAATATTCCTGCTGCCAGACCATAAAAATATAAGCTATTTGAACGCTGAAATAAAATGAAATTTTGCTCCAATTATTTGCCCTAGTTTTTACTTTTTAAATTCAACTACATCAGAGATGCAAAACAAAAAAAATGTCACAAAATAAAAATTTAATTACTCTGGTATTTTATTTATCAATTGCAGCACTTTTTATCGTAACATAACTGTTTTTTGCCATACAAGAATTTATGCAATTAAGAAAAAATTTCTTTGATTGGATTTTTGATTCACATTTTTGCCTTGTTAAATATTTTGTTTTGGCATAATTCATTATAGCACCCAAAATTTCAATGCAACCTCATAAAATACTCTTAAGCCATCCTTGTCCAATTAAGCCAAGCGCATTTTTACTAGCCACAAAACCGCTTGAAATATAACCAAAAACATTTTCCATTTTTATTTTTGCATTTGTCTAACTTTTCCTGATGGCTAGAAGGCTTATTTTAATTCATCATTATTCACATATATCCAATACAAAGTGGAAATCATCAAACTTAGAAAGCTCCTTAATCAGTTCCATTTTGCTGAACTCTATACCAAATTTTGAGCCCCAAATTTCCAATTTTTTTAGTTTTGGTGCGTGACTGACGAGGATGCAAAGAAATTTAAATAGTTCTGGGTTTTCTTCCTCGTCTTCATAATAGAAGTACAATGTATGGAGGTTCTGCAAAATGCGCCCTTCCATCAACAAGTTGATTAAATGCGAGATATCATTTTTTGAGAGATTCCAGTTTGTAGCGAAGTAGAATATTTCTAAATTTGGTGCGGAAAGAGTGATTGTCGTGAATTCAGATGGGACATTTCGATTGTTAAACATGACTAATTGTTTCAAGTGCTGCACTTGGCCAATGTGCACGTGATCTTTGTAACACAGCAGATCATCATTTTTAGAGCCAAAGCACTCACTCAGTTCAAGTTTCACAAGGTGGGGGCAATGAAAGAGCACTTGGAAAGGCTTAAGGCAAAAATCATGGCAACTATAAATAGTCAGTACCTTGAGTTTGTGACCGCAAAGTTCCAAAATTCTGTTGACGAACGTCGAGTTCACATCATACAGCTCTAATTCCCTGAGATGACTTAGTTTTCCCACCAAGTCGAAGTTCGATGTCGCTGAAGGCCTATCCAGTAAAAGGTATTCCAGCCAGGGGACAAGCTCAAAATTGTAGCTGCCGCGGCAAACTCTCAAATGTGTCAGGGAAAGCACACCATGACCACGGTAAGAACGAATATTGTGGTTTGCTTCCCCACCCCAGCAAATACGTAACTTGGGCAGATTTTCCAGGCATTCGGCATTAAAATGGCGATAGTAATGATCTTGCTCATCAATTTCCATCTGAAATTAAAGTAAAAACAATTGTATTTTGACAATTTTTTCCTTCTTCATTAAAAACTGAACTGCAGAATTTAATGGAATATAATAATTTTTTTAGGGAAGACGCTAGAGCAGATTATGATTTACCTGGCTTTTGTCTTTGACATGACACCGAGGATACCAAGATATGTTCAGTTCTTCAAGATGGTGCAGAGCGAACAAGTTCTTTAGAGTCTCAAAATACACCAACTCAAAGGTGACACACAGAGTCTTCAGGTTTGGGTGGTTGGAGGCAATGACGGCTAAATCTTTAGCGTCACATATATATTCTTGAAGTTTTATGTGTTGCAAATTGCGACATTGAGACAGAAAGGGCAGAACATCTCGGACCAGGAGTTTGCCTTTTCCTCTATCGCTGCTGTGTTTGCGACTGTCGTCCACTGCCTCCAAGTTAGGGCATCTTTGGGCCAGCATCTGCCAAATTAGTAGATCACGCTGATGGTCTGACGAGTGGTAATCACAGAAGATGGAAAAGTTGAAAAACTTTATGGAGGCATCCAAAAGGCTGTCCACCATCCTCAACATCCAATTTGCATTTTCAGGATTGAGGCGCTTGACATAGTCGTTAAAGCCAACAATAATAATCTCGTCTTTGATATATTGGGCTTCAAGATGTAGCAGGATATCTATTCGTAAAGCTGGAGCTGCAAATAATGAAAGATATTCAGATCAATTCAGATATTATAAAAAATTCAGGAATAATTATTCGTTACATATCTATATAGTAATTAATAAACTAAGTAGCTATATTTTGATAAGGAGAGATGAAAATCAATGTTATTTTAATTACTTAGGATATTATCTGCCACAAACAGAGATGCTGGTTGAGTTGAAGGATGCGTTGCGAATTTCTCCAGAGCTAGAACTTGCAAGGGTCGAAGGTTTTCAGCTTTGGACCGCTTTGCTTTGGCAATGCTCAGAAGTTGCTTCTGATCAAACACACTGAAAAATGAATAAAGTTTAAAACTCTTGCACCTTCACTTCAAGTTAAAAAAATCGAAAAAAATCAAGTAACACCAGACATACCTCCACGTGGTAGCTGCCATGTCAATTGCTCTTTTTTCTATTGTCTCACAATAAAGAATGCTGTTGGTGATTCAAACTCACGGATATGAATGATATGAGATATGATATTTGTTCACGGCGCCAGAGAATTCGGCTGATTCGATGGACCAATTTTAAAGTAATGAGACAGAATTCAATAAAAATTGCAAGAAAAAGTGGACGGATAACAGCAAGCCAATAAGACCAGCAAGCAGAATAATGTAAGTGTCGCAAACCCAAAAGACACTTTCTCATCAAACATGTGTTTTTGTTTACTTGGCGCAGCGTGTGTGCAGTGCAGCCAGCAGGTTGCAGCACTGCTTGCACTTTCTCTGCAACCCACGTTTGGCGCTATGCGCTGGTGCTATGCGTCCCCGGCATTTCGCAAATCTGCCCCAAAAATATCAAAATTTCAGACATTATTATTAAAATAATTATATTGATTGAGGTGTTTTTCTTTTCAGAAATTAAAATCTTAAATTACATTAGATGTAATTAATTGCTAGACGAATATAATTAACAAAAAGCATTATTTCCATTTTTTTCAGGCAACGAAATTTATAATTTTTTATTTTAAATATGAAATTTTCCAAATCAATTTTTAATCCAAAAATTTCCAGAGATCGCTTCAAATTTTGCACAATTGTGTTTGCTTAATATTGAGGTTGATTTCTACATACAAACTAAATAAATGTCATAAGAAAGTTTAATATATTTTAAGAGATTTTTTAGACACATCATTTATATTGAAAGAAACTTCAAGACATCAAAAAATTTTAAATTAAAAGGTAAAAAATTTTGCGGAAACGCATGATATCTCTGATTTTTATTCGCAAAAATTTTTGAAACTTTTAAACTTTAAGTATCAAAAATTATAATAAATTATATATTAATGCTGAAAAATTTTTGTGTTAAATTTAATCAAATTCAACTCAAATAATAAGCTCGCAATTAGCGCACAACGCCGTGAGTGCAGCAGGCAAGCGAGAGCGAAGTTGAGGCGCTTCATAAAAGTCATAGCGCGCGACAATGGCTGCTCCGATAGCAAAAATAAATTTCATCAGAGAATTTTTGCTCTTAATTTAAGAATGAAGTCCCAATTGACTCTATCCCTTCCGAATGAGGTGCAGTTCAACATAAGCCATTTTTTTCAATTTTGCTTATTTCGTTGCATAAATATAATTTTTATGTTCTATATAAAGCGTGAAATTCAAGTTTATGACTATAAATTAAAGTCACATATTATTTTTCAATTAATCGTTTCAGAAACGATTTTTATTGCAAGTTTACAGTGGAGGAATGTTCTGAGCAAAGACCTTGATGGCCTCCCACGTCTCAGTGGCGACAGGGACGATCAATGAAGGAGGAGGATTGAATCCAGCAAGTCCTCCACCAGGCAGCTCAAAAGCGTAAGCCTGCTTGTCGAGCACGCCAAGGACCCAGTCAATGGTTCCACCGTAAGCAAGGTCTAATTAAAATTCAAGTAAAATTATTGGGAAGTCCAAATGAGATAAGATCTGCACGTACAGATTACGTTGGAGATGGATCCAATGTCGTATGTCGTGCCTGCTACGGCGGTGAGGGCGGCAATAGCCTCTGTTGCCACGGAGTCCTGCCAATTAGACATTTTCTTTGGAATGAACAAATGTTTTGGGAAGTATTTTTCTTTTTACCAAAATTGCCACATTTGGTGGCGGAGCCGTAGTGTCTCCCCACGAGTAGAGTAGCATCTACACAAATTATCATTTCATAATTCTTTAAAGGTAAATTTTTTTTATCTTAAACAACTTACTTGGCCGTAACTGTGCACAGAAATAACCATGTTGATGCTAGGGTTATTGGTGAGGAAATCTGCGTACGCTTGCATTTCCGGCTCGGAAAAGGCTGCAGCTCCTGGGAAAGTTGCTTCACAAGCGTCATGGGGTCCACCACCTGTAGAAATAAAAAATAAAAAAATTCTCAATGAAATAAAGATTATATTCTAACCTCCCCATGCCCAATCAAAGTTCCTGTTTGGATCGGTTCCAACGCAAGTGGAGCCGGGGTTTGGCTTCCGCGTCTTCCTCCAAAGTCGTTCCTGAAATTTCCGTGCTTTTATATTTATATTGCCCACGAATGATATGTGATGAATATTTTCTAAATTTGGTGTATAATGTAGAATGGAGAATGATTTAAATTCACAATAAAATAGAAATAAAATTGAATGTTTTAGAAAATAATTTAATCATTCTACACAGGTTAAGTAACTTGTAAAATCCTAGTGAACAATTTTTTTACTATTTCAAAATCAGCTGCTGATAATGAACTGTAAAAAATTATATCTAGTGTGTGTCAATTTCTATATTTGAGAAATTTGAGGAGAAATCCACCATTTGTCAAATAAAAAGTATTACTTTTAATTGGAATTAATTATTTTTTTCAGTTTTAACTTTCTGGTCAATATATGAAATAAAATTCAGCATAAATTAAATTTTAAAATAAAATATTTACGTTGGTCCAGGTGTATGAGTATCCGTCAGGATTGGCCACGGGCAAGAAGTAGAAGTCATTGGCGTCCAGAACGGCCTGGTTGTTAGCCAAATTTTCGGTCAGCTCGTTGATTGCGTACAGAAGGACAGGCGGTCCAATCCACTCGCGTGCGTGGATCACCGACTCCATGAAAAGACCAGACTTTCCAGGGCCGTTAGAAAGCTTGAGCACCCTCAGAGGCCTGCCCTCGAAGGAGTTGCCAATTTCGATGATGGATGCGAGTGCGGGGTAGTCGGCCACCACCGAGTCCAAATAAGCGTTAATCTTAAAAAAAAAATAGCAAAGCACATTTTTCAAGAATGATTCAACCAACCTCGTCGATGTCCAAGAACCTGTCAAAGCTGGGCGCTTTTCCATTGAGAGCTTCGGTTTTCCTCATGCTTTTGATTTCCATACGCTCTTTGGCAATAATTCTAAAAAATTAATTTTTAATAAAGATATATATTATTCTGGACAAGAATTTTCTGAATATTCATACGGCCCCATGTCGTGAATGGTGATGGTCGGCTCCAAACCATCTCGGAGCAATTTTCCCATCAGAGAGGTCACGTTGGCTTCGGGCACCATGATTTCGACAGGTTCGCCTAACCGGAAGGAAGTCCAGATATCGAAAGTCGGGTCTTTAAGAATAGGATCGAATTTGCGCACATCCTCCTGCGCGAGAGGCTTCGTCTTCAAGACATGATACCTGTAATTAGGAATTTCACGTAAAAAATAATTTTTTTTAAATTTTAAATTATTTTCAATACCCGTCATATGTCTTGTAAGAAAATGCTGTGCTGCAGAGCACAGCGATGAGCGCCACTTGCACCTTCATGGCGATCAGTGACTGTGCAAAGAATTCTAAATGTCACCTATTTATAAAATTGATTGACAGCAGATCAGATCGGCATGCTGCTATCAGCATCACACTTGAAGCATTTTTTGATTGACAAAACGCTTTATCATTTAGGTTCATTTTTTGCAATCCCTCGTGTCTCCTGATATTGAATTGTTTCTAGCTCAATGTGGCTCAATGTTCAGAAGAGTACTCAAGCACTTAGCACTTGTCAATTAAACCGCCGTTAGCAATTTCTTTAATCAGTAGTCACTTATTAAAAGTTAACATGTTAATTTTTTGTTTGCTATGAAATTATCTTAAATTGAAGAGGTTTCTCTTCTTTAGCATTTGAATCATTATTAAATTACCTTCAATGTAAAGAAAAAATTTGTAAAATTTTAAAAACTTTTTGAAGTCTCCAAGTTAGGAAACTTTTGCGCGGGTTATCTCTTTTGTAATTGATGAATGTTCGCGGAAGGGAATTCCGACACGCGCCACTTAATAGCGCCTGCAGTTTGCAGTAATAGGCAACCTGCACGACACGTCCGCACCCCCTTTTGTAAAGCACCCTATGGCAATGCTAAAATAATGTTCTGAAAGAGAATTTATATCTAACACTGTTGAATATTTTAATTTTTGTATCAATAATATTACTCTCTAGACTTTTTGACTTTTAATATTACAAAAGCTCGACCGCACGGCGCTCACAAAAAACTTGCAATTTAACAAAGCTTGCATTTTGTATTAGAAACTTATATTAAATTTTTTTATTTCATTTTGAGCATTGCAGTCCGCGAGACAACTCCAAAGCAGAAGAAGATCCCGCCTGCTGCTTTCATATTATTTATCGAAGTTGGAATTATTACCGAGAGGTGGTGCATTAATTCAGGTTTCTACTGCTTTTTCAATAAAAAAAGTGCAAAAATTTATTGAATTGACCACTTTTTCACTCCATATAATAAACTTATTTAAAAGCACCTTTTAATATCGCACTTTTTGACTTTCTACTTTACATTATTCAAAGGTAGTCAGCATTTTCATAATAAATAATTTAATTTTAGGAAACTTCAGTAAAAAATAAAATTATTTTAATGTTTTCATTGTAATCAAACAATCAAAACCTGTTCAAAAAACAATATTGTTTATTGAGAGAGAAAATACATAATTTTTTCTGCTGTAAAAATTTTCATGCAATACTGTGCTATGATAAGTCATTAATATAATATACACACAAAAAATTATACTCAAGTAGATATAATGCGAATTTCAAGTAAAAAAATAAATTTGCATCTATTGTATGGCATGATACGGTATTATAATCATTTTGAAATATTGCTGTACGCGCAATTAAAATTTCATTGCTTGGTAATTAATTCAGTCTTCCATTAATATGTATATATTTTTAGAGTAAAAATTACCACATATTGCTCTGATCTATTAAAATGTACATGAGAATCCACAAAACAAGCAGGGCGATGATGGTGACGAGGAAGACGGTCTTCAGGCGGTGCCAGGGGCTCTCGGGAGGCGTCCGAACGGCAGAGGAGCAAACGCCGTTTGAATTGCTGCAGTTGCTGATTTTGATTCTGACCTCGTCCATCTCCATCATGGCTGCCTTGTTAGCCGCGCCGTCCCGTTCGAACGCACCGTTGTCCATCTGCAAAACAGAGACGTCCACTTGAGTACATTCATCGCCCATATAGAGAACAGTTTTCACCAACAAAAAGAGCAAAGCTTGGCCGCGTGCGTTCTTCGTGTGTATGGTGGAGCTCAAATTTTTAACTAGTATATATCTGAGCTGTATTAAAAAGCATTCTCAGCGTTCTTTAGATAGTACATTACATATTATAAAGTTCCGCAGTATGACAAGACTGAACTATGACCATCAGATACCACCAATGTCACTCTTATCAGTATACACCACCATACTCCATTAAAATATGGAAAATATCTCTATTGAAATTCCCACTTGCATTCACATCAAGAATTTATTTTAAAATAAACAGCAAAATTTACAGAATAGTGATTAAACTGTAAAATAAATTATTGAAAATAAATATTCATTTTTAACAATTCTACATTTCAAATCTAAAAAAAAGCAAATAAAATTTAAATGCTATATAAAGAATAAATTATAATGTTTTAAACCAAAATTTACTGCGCGTTACCTTTTTGTGCTGAGGTCTGAAAGGGACTGCCTGTTATAATGCGCTCGTGGATAACTTTCACTTGATCCGCCGCGCTCACTGGCAATCAAGAGTGTGGGGCCCCTGCTTGCTCCTGCGACTCATCAAACACACTAAAAAATAGCTGCAGGGATTTCTTCCGCATCAACGGCCTTGGCGATTTTAGAAATTAAGCGCAGACACTTGTTTATACACCTAATTAAAAATTACGCACGCGCGACATGTTCTTCGGCTGTGATAAGAATTTAAAATATTTTTGTTTAGTCTTTAAGGTGAAAATTGGTGAAAATAAGAAACATCTATGCAGGCGATAAAATATGCGCTTATTGGAACCGTGACGCTGCTGCTTTTTGATCTCAATATTCCTGTGACAAAATAGCAGAGATGACCGGAACAGCAGAAATGAATTGCAGTAGAGTGGGATGGATAATGATGTGTGGGAGGGAAAACTGAAGGTCAAAAATGATTTGGGTGACGACGCAGTGTGCATAAGCATTCAAAATTTTGCATAAAAAGCATTTGAAAAATAATGTAATTCAGTAATAATTTACTGGATAAATAAAAAAAAATGTTAAAATATATTTAATTTTTTTATTTTAATTTATTGTAAAAATAATCGAAAATAATCAATATAAATATAATTTTATCATTATCTTTACTGATGAGTTTAATTTAGCTCAAGTAAATAGTAAAGTTCTTGTTCATAACAAGGACTTTCCAAGTTTCAATCTTGTAATATTATTTGACACGTACAGAAGCACGCGAGCACGTGGCTATATAGTTTTGATCTGATCCAATATTATAGACGCAGAGCAAGAAGACTTCTTGTCAGAGCAAGAATTAGTTCACTCTTTCCTCCGCCAGATGTCTCTTTCGGCGCCAAGGCAGGTGCAGGCCAAAAAATAAGGAAGGCTGAGTTGGTAAACAAAAATGAAAAGACTGTCCCGACTGGCAAGGTGATATCGGACACACACGAGACCCTAAGTAGATGTCCTGTGCTGCTGTCCGGCGCTGAGCGTGTCCGAGAACACCTGAGAGCAGCGCGGCCAGAGCGATGGGCGAGAGCGCCGAGGACGGACACCTGGAGCGGCAGGGCTCGGTCGAGTCGTACGAGCAGGCCAAAGGAGGACCCTCATTCAACATTCCCAGGGTGTCGGCCCGCACCCTGGTCGGCGCCGCCAGCATGGGCAACATCGGCGCCCTCGAGTGGGGCTCTCAGGGGCTGCTTGCGTACGGCTCCAACTGCTCCGTGGTAGTGTTGGACACCAGGAACATTCAGACCGTCCAGACTCTCGAAAAACACAAGCACCCTGTGCAAAAGGTGGATTTTTTTTACATGAATTTAGATTTATCAGTTTTGTTGTTGTTACATAATATAACTTTGATTTTTTTAGATCTGTTGGGAGCCTGGCTCAATCCAGGGAAAAACCGCTGGTTTGTTTTTGGTCTCTGCTGACCTGCAGGGACACATCGTTATTTGGGACGTCCAGCAGGGAAAGGCCGCTGGCGTTCTCCAGGATGGTTCCAAGGCCATATTAGGTATTTGCATTTTATTAAGTGCAATTTTAAGGTGATGTGCTAAAAATGTATAAATTGTTGCAGACATGTCGTGGGTGAAAGGCAACAACGGGGTGTACTTTCTTGCTGTCCTCCACCAACCTTATTCATTGGTCGTCTGGGACACGGCGACCAAGACCAAATTGTGGAAGAAAACCTACACGGAAAATCTGTTGTCCTTCAGCTTTGACCCTTTCAACAACTCAAGATTAGCATGTTAGTTTGAATTGATTTAAAAAAATACCTAACTCACACTTTTTTTTCAGTTTTATGTCAAGATTGCATTTTGTTTGTGGATGATTTCTCGGTGTCCAAAGTGCCGTCAAGCAACGGTCGTAGATTTTATATCAGCCAAGGAATGGGGAACCACGCCAGTGGAAGCCACAACAGCAACGAGAAGAAGTTGGGAGGCGAAGGCCTCCGAAAAATGGTCAAGGATCTTGTCATAGGAGAGGTCAAACCAAAGTAAGCTTTTGCACAAAACTGAAAACAGTGGATTTGAGTTTTAAAAATTGCTCAAAATTTAGGTCTGAAGAGGTGCCAAGTGGTGGCAACAGCGATTGTTTGCAGTTGTGCTATCACCGTTCACTTCGCCACCACCTGCTGCTGCTCTTCTCCAAAGAACTGCTCATTCTGGATCTGCACATCAATCAGACCATCTGCGTCATCCCTTTGGAGAGGACAGCAGCGCCATTCATGCAGGTTTGCTGATTTTGCCATTTTATTTCAATGATACAGGAGGTTAATTTTCTATTTCTATGAGTACGAATTGAAATATTTTCAATTTCAGGTTGTGTCATGTAGGCAGAGGGATGTTATGTATTGTCTGCATGAGTCTGGGAGCATCGGAGTCAAACTGAGGAAGCGCAATCTGTCAGCTTCAAGGCTTTCACTTGACATGTCAGCCCTTAGTCAAGGTAGTTTTCACCCTGAAATATCTTTTGTTACTTAAATTTAAATAAAAAAATCAAACAAAATTTCAGAAGGCTTCCAAATGCAAAATGAACCCGAAATGGCTTATGACCAAAGATGTCACAGCGAGGCTGTCCGACTGACCAAGTCTTCAAAAGTGCTTGGAATGGCCATCGATCCCCATTCAGAGTGCAGAGCTGGTATGTATTTGGTAAATGAAAATCTTGTTTTCCCTAAAATTTGTTGTCCAGCTTTGATTTTGACAAATGGGAAGATAATTTTTCTGGATCTTGGGTACACTCCGATACAAATGGACACTGCTAACTACCTTTCAAATCTGGTCGAACCATTGTATTCTGTGAGTAATTTTTTTTGTGAAAACTAAAATTTTATGTAACTTTTACAAATCATTGCAGCCAAGAGAAATCAGCGCTGAGGGAAATCTGAAACTTCAAATTACGGGTTTGTTGCACAGCATCAGTGGATCACTTCAGGCCATCAGAATGTGTCCACCCCTGACCACAAGGAATTGGCAAGAGTACGAGCCAATCATGGCTGGTGGAACTGAATCGGGTTGTGTGCAAATTTACAACATGGCAACAGGAATTCTCGAAAAGGAACTAGTCATCCACTCCTATCCTGTTAGGTAAGCAAAAAAATGATGCACTATTTGAAAAATGTTTAGTTACGATTATATTTGATTAGGGGAATTGAGTGGACTGGCCTGAAGAGTTTCCTGAGCTTTGCATTTACAACCCCAGGTTCATCTGGAATGGTGCGAAATGAGTTGTTGCTGACGGATGTTGCAACTGGAGGTTGCACTTCGATTCGCACAGATGTTGTTGACGAACCTCCAATCGACACTCTGAAAGTTTCACCTTTGAAGTGAGTCTTATATTCTTTTGGAATCGGATAATGTTAAAAATTTTTTACTTTGAAATCAGGCAATATTTTGTGCTGTCACTTAAATTTAGCACATTCGAGTTGTGGGATTTGCGAAATATGTGCATTTTGAGAACCATGCCTAAGAAGTTCCCCCTTGTGACGGCGTTGGTATGAACATTTTGTTATTTTCAACAAATGTATTTCAAACATGATTTAGGAATGGTCACCAATTCACAATTTAAAAGCATTAAGACGGAAAATGGCCCACCAAGAAGAGAAAGAACAGGAAGACATCCAAGTGTTGTCACCTACTGCCGCAGAACAAAGTAAAAACTTGATTTTAATAATTATTTGTGAAAAAATTCAAGAATATATAATTCTAGCAAGAATTGGTGAATCTTCTGCTGAAAAAAGTCTCATAGCCAGGGAGCATTTTGTATTTACAGACACCGACAGTCAGTTGTTTCACTTTTCTGTCGATGGAAATGTGATGAAAGATGGCATCAAAATTCCTCCTGAGGTACAAACGTAGCTCATGCATAACCAAACTTGAATAACATTTTGTTTTGCAACAAATTTTAGACTGGAGTTAGCGGTGTCACCTGTATTGCCTTCAAAAATGACCTTATAGTCCAAGGAGACTCTGACGGGTTGCTGAATATTTGGGATTTGAAGGCTCGCTCGTCACGAAACGTGCACACTTCAAGAGGGTGGGTAAAAAAGATGCGGTTTGCTCCAGGCAAGGGAAATCTCAGGCTACTGTTACTCTACAATGATGGCGTTGACATAATAGACCTTAAAAAGGTGCATATTTTTTACAATGAATCAATAAAAAATAACGGTCTGATTTTAGGCGCATTACGAGAGAATAGCTCAGTTGAAGAGTCCTCGTGATATTGTCAAGGTGATGGATATTGATTGGGCTGCTTCAGACAAGCCTGTCCTGGCAACCCAGGATGGGTGTCTCCGAGTGATGGACATAACTTTGACCCACTGCAGCTCCCCAATGTCGGAATATTCATTCCAAGGTTATTTTGAAAATTTAAAAAATGATTAATTTTCTAATATAACTTTCTTACAGACTCCATTTATTGTCCTAGTCTTCTTACACCTCATGCACTTCTTAGTCTAAGAACCTCACTTGCTACTGGGCTCTGCACGATTGATCAATTGGACAACCTCCGAGGGCTAACAGACCTAGAGGCTCAAGGTGAGCAACTTTTCAATTTAAAATTTAATTCAAAGAAATTAATGTTAAAAATTTGAAGGCAAAATTTTTGAAAAGTTTGAAACACAGTGCGGATTAACAATTAAAGTTGTGTACATCCAGACTGGAAGTACTTTCCAAATCAAAAATTTTAAAAGTTGTAAATTTTTTCCTACATTTTTAGGCCTGAAAGACCAACTAACTCAGCTTTCCGAGTCTGAAATGGACAGTTTCAGGCAGAAATCTTATTGCCAACGAGCTCTGGCAGCTGCCAAGTACTTTGGTTCCACGGAGGAAGTCGATTTGTGGACCGTGGCTGATTACTACATCAAAACTTACAAGCGCACTGTATAATAAATATTTTTACAATTTTTCTCTTGACATTTCCACAAATTAATATCCTAGGGAATTATTGAGAGGAGTCCGAGCATAGATTCGCCTGGCTCCACCTTGGACACAAACAGAACCAATGCAAACCCAGATCTAGAACCGTTAGACACTTGCTATGATCTTATCTGCGATAATTATTCCTTCCAGGTATGTTTTGTATTCGTTGAAATAATACTTCCAGTCTAAAAGTGTAATTTCTCAGAAACTGCAACTTGAGAGAGCATCAATTCACGAGTCGAAGCGCGGAGACTACGAACACTCGAAAAAGGTGATCGAACGTCTCATCCTGCTTGGACAGACTGACAGAGCGGTGCAGCTTCTTTTGGAGACGGAGCTTGAGAATCCTGCCTACTACACTGATGCCATAAAGTACAATTAGTACAATTTGTCTCCTCAGTAATTGAAATTTTGATTTCAGAGCTTGCTTGGTTTCAACCATTCAGTCTACTGGTGCTGCCCAAAGCACTATCAAACTTGTTGCCACAAACTTGATAGCAAATGGAAATATAGGGGAAGGTAAATTTAATACTATTCATTAATTTTGGAGAAACTATTAATTATTTATGAAGGCGTCCAACTTTTGTGCTTGATTGGAAAGGGGTTAGATGCTTGCCGGTATCTCACTTCATACTCTTTATGGGAGCGTGCAGCCTGGCTAGCAAAATCAGTCTTACCTCAGGGAGAAATGGCCGAGGTGCTGAAGAAATGGGCTGAGCATCTTGCTGCCAACGGGAACAGGGTAATTCTCATAAATTTGATTTGATTTTGTTTATTTGAATTTTTTGACAGATGCAAGCTGCACTTGTTCTCATCTCGCTGGGTCGATTCGCACAATGTGCAGAACTTTTGGTATCGAAAGGTCTTCCAGCCCAGGCTTGGATTCTACTTGCTGCGTGCAGAGAAAACGGTTTGGAAGTCGAGGCACCCAGGGGACTTCACGAGGAGCTGAGTCAATTGTTTGAGGGCAACCAGCGCCTTCTCACACTGCTGTCTCCAGATTGACCATTTTAAAAATCAAAAGTTTCTCCTGAACTTTTTTCGAGAAGTGCTTACAAGTCGATTCTAGTTTCTCTTTTTTAGAGCCACTGTATGGTTATTACTGTTTAGGCAGAGAAATAATTATTTACCACACCGCAGGGCAAGAGTATACACATTAAACTGCTGTATTGATGGTGCAATTTGTTAGCCTTGACCTGTGTATCACAAGATCATTTATTATATCAAAGTGAATAAAGATTTATATATTTTAAGCTCAGCAGAAATTCACAATGTGTAATTTTTCTTTCAACCCTAAAAGAAATCTTTTTGAAAGTATAAAAAGGTAGAATTTCGTCAGAAATAGAATCAATATTAAAATGAATGAATAAGGTGGGTTTTAATCCACCGTAAGGGTTGGAAAGATTTAAAACTTAGAATAATTAAAATGTATTTTTTACTCAATTTTCCATTAAATAATTAGCAACCTCCAAATTCCAATAATTCTTAGTTTGTAAGTCGGAGCGAAAATGTGATGATTCTTGTCATCTTACATTAACCTTGACGAGAAGAAGATTGCGTCTGCCATCCTCTTCTTATTGCAATTCGCAAAAACCATCGAGTGCCAGTGTGCAAAAAAAAGGAGGCTGACAATTGACATCTGCAGCGAGCCGAGCCCTCTGTCGCAGCCGGGTTTGGCGCCACTCGCGCCTCCCCCCTCCCCTCCGTGCGATTTCAAGGGCAACGCTTCTTTTTTGTTCCAACAACTGCTTTTATTATTTTATTCAGTAAGTGCAACATGGCGGTAGTCGGGACGCTCGTCTCGATCTCGGGCTCGCTCCTCTTGACGCCGTTGATCCTTTTCCTGCTGGTGATTCTGTTCCTGGCCTCGATCGGCAAGTCGATCGGCGTCCGAAGACTGTACGTGAAGACCCTGCTGACCCTGTTCGAGGTGAGCAAGCGAGTTTGCGAGTGCCAAAAGTGGGCTCGTCATGGACCTGCCCCACAGCCAGAGGAATGCACGACGATCCCCTTTGGTCGTTCGCAGATGTGCAAATTAAAAGACTCGCGAACTTTTGCATGACTCACACGAATTTACTTCGAGAAAGATTTGCCAATTTTTCCCGAATGTTTTGCTCAATTTGAGTTTGTTTTTCTCGCAATTCCCGGATTTGTTCCACATACGTGGGCAGTTTTAGGGGTGAGCGAGAGGATTTCCGCGGGCGGAAGTGCGCGTCCGATGTACATAATTTCCGAAATTGAATTCAAAGATTTCAAAGTCGAAACCTCGGTGCCTTTTGTTTGTGTGTTGGCTGCGTTTTTCGATACGCGTGCCTAAGGAGAAATTACTTATCCTGCCCGAGAGAGTGTGGTGGCATTTTCACTTTTGTCCAGGAAGACGAGCTTGCTCGGCTGCGTCAGCAATATGACTTTTAGATAAACAATACAACTTATTTATTTTGATTGCAGGTCGTCGTTTATGAAATTGCTACTGATTTTTACACAAAACTCTCAAGTGAAATATCAAAGTTTTCATTCCAATTTAATTAAATTTGAAAATAGAATTTTGTATTATTTAAAATGTTATCAAAATTCCTGTTGATTTGAAGTCTCAATTTTTGAGAGCCATTTCAGGACTTTAATCGGCTTTATCAAGTGTTCATTCAAAAGCCTTTAAAGAAAATATGAAAAACATAAAAAGTAAAAAAAAAACCTAAAAACAATTTTTATAATAAAAATCCAGGAGTTCACTATAAAAATTTTAACACTATGAGTTAGAAAGCTACACAATCTTGAAACTTTATATTTTGATGTATTTTAACTTAATTCCTTATGTAATATAATTTAATCTAGAAGTTTGTTTACCTCCGTTCACGTTTGCCAGAGAAGATGAAAGGAGTTTAAAGTGTACAATCTCAAAAAAATGAGTTAATCTCTCTTATGTACAATTTATTATCCTTTTTGTGCCCCTTAAGGCTTATCATGTTGTTAATTTATAACTGGATCAGTTGTGTTCTCGAACCTGCAAAATTGCCGGAATCGATTTCGCCTAAGTTACTTTCCCACTCGCCAACACGGTTGAATGTGTAATTTGCATGGGTCGCGTCAATACTTGGTGAATAATTCATGAACTCGTGCGCAACTGTACATTCCAGAAAATTCTGCACTTTCGATAATTGAAATTAATAAAATCCTTAACCTCTCTGGGATCAGCTCTTGGAATCAAAATGTGCAGACGCGGCCCATGCACTCGGGAACTCTGACCGACGGGCGCGGCTCACGTGACACGCACGGGCTTATGTAAGATTTGATTATGGAAGACATGCCTTAAGTGGTGATAAGCGTCAGATCAGGCCATCACTCATTTGGAGCAGAGGGATTAATGCATTGGAATCTGAATTTTTCTGGATAAATTGCTCTTAAAGAAAAAAATTTAATTAATTCATTTTAAAAGTATATTTTTATGAAGAAAAATCAGTCGATTTTGAAGTTTTAATGCGATCAAAGGCAAAAAATAAAAAATAAAAATATTACAAAAATATAAATATTTGTATTACTTTATCTAATTATTTTATCAATTTTAATTTAAACCAAAGAAGAAAATTATTAATTTAAATATTTAAACAGTTTGGTGAAACATCAAATGAATTGCGTTAATTTTTTTGTATAATATTTTCACTTTTAATCTATAACTGCAATGGAAATTGTATTATTAACCCAGAGCCAAATACACATTTTTTTTCTTTTCAAGCAATAATATTTGATGATATTTCTAACCAAAATCATCTTGATAAAGTGACAGTCCTTTCGGTCTTCTGATGACTACATTATAGTCAACCGCTGACATTAAAAGCAGAGCAAACCAGTTTTGCAGAGGCGGCAAAACCCTTTCCGGTTTTGCTCACTTTCCCGCCCGCATAAATTTTGGTTCGCGCCCTCTGCTCCAAACAAATGGGGGTGTAAATTATTGTCGATGGTTTGCATTTTAATCAGGCGTTCGTAACGGACAAAAAAAGGTGCAGCTGCGAATTCTTTGATTCTGAACCTCCCCCACGGCGGTAAAATAAAAAATCTCGTATGCGGCGCTTGACTGCCCAGCACGCTTCAATGCAAACCTGGTCTGCTGCACAATTCGCAATAGGGAAGTGGAATAAATGGAAATCGCAGCCATGCGTGCCGCAGAATAATTCTTGCTCGACTTGTTTTGCTTTTCTTTTCAATCGTGACTCTCAAATATTTAAAATTAATAAAATTCTTTTTTAAATATTTAAGAATTGCAATTTTTTGAAGAAATATATCAAAATATTGTAGTAATTTCTATATAAATCTTACTTTTGATTTAATATTGAACCTTCATTCATAAGTTGATTCATTCACAAGCCCCTCTGCACTGTTCCTAATTTGAAATGTCAAAAGGCGTCGCATTTGGAAACCCTTCTGGCTGCCAATTTAATTAAGTAGCCATTAGGAGATTAACCAAAAATGTCACAAGGCGACTAGAAAAATTATTTTTATCTCGAGGAATGCTAATCTAGAAACCAACTATATTATATGTGTGTCCCCTGTTTGTCATCTGATATCATTCTAATGATGAACCTCAGACTTTGAAACTTGCAATCAAGCCGCTCCATTCATGCTCTTGGGAAACTAATTAGATGAAAAAGAAGAGCACACTTGTTGTGCAACAAACTTGCATTCGATGCAACTGATGAAACACAACTCATGTGTCTCACTTTCGATTAGTCATCAAATATCATAAAAAAAAAATGAAAATGCAGAGCTTCTCAATGCAAGATGATGATACAAACAATGAAAACTCCCCACACAACCAGAAAAATAATTGTATGCAAATATTTAAAAAAAAAAAATTATATTCCATTATTTTGAATTGCAACATTATTAAAAAGCTTGCTTTTTTGTGTGATTTCAGTATGGCAGGCAGCACATTGAAATTGCCAACAAGCAAAAGCGGCGGTCCGATGACTCAGGGTTCAACTCTGAGGACGAGGGCGATTCGAAGAGAACAAGGACCACGTCGGAAGCATCCGACGACGGTCTGCAGAGGGGAAGGACCAAAGGTCACCAACGAAATGGATCTCTTAAGGTAGCAATTGAAAGTCTGATGTTGATTGAAAGTAAAAATTTTATGTCCAGAATGGAATAAGTCTGATTCAACGAGAAGACCTCATCCTCGCACCTGACCCTTGTCACAACAAAAGCGACCACAATCACCGAGACTCGAGCAATCCTAGACATCCGAAGTCCAGGAGTCACTCGGCTGGAGCGCCCAGAACTGGTACCTCAAATGGTACGTCGGAAAAGGGCGAAAACAGCGAACAAGAAGATGAAATTGATAACCCGGGACTGGTATTAAATCTTATAATTTGTCCTGAGATTTATAATGAACTCACAATTTTTAGGACAAAGATCACAGAAAATTGTCTTTTGAGACTTTGAAAAGGGAGTTTGACCTGTCAGACTCTTTGACGTTTATAAAGGCTGGAGTCGAGTCCATCATTGAAGACGAAGTCACCCAATGTTTCGAAGCTGAAGAATTACGGGTTAGTTTATACTTACTATTTTTAGAAACATTTTTCTAATTTAAATTTTCCAGTCTTGGAATTTGTTGACAAGAACAAATAGACATTATGAGTTCATCAGCTGGAGACTTACAGTGATTTGGATGTTAGGTTTTGTAGTTCGCTACCTCTTTCTCTTCCCACTGAGAGTCACCATATGTTTTGTTGGGGTGAGTCTGCGGCTCTTGTTAAAAATTAATAGACACGTTTTATAGTAAACATGCGGAAATTTTAAAAATTTAAACGCAGTTCTGGTGGATGGCAATTTCTACCACTCTGATCAGTTTGGTGCCAGGCCTGAAATTAAGGCGTTGGCTGAACAAGCACGCCATGCTGATCACTTTCCGACTTTATGCACGCTCCTTCTCAACCGTAATCAACGTGCACAACACCGAGTACATGCCTAAGTCCAACGGCATATGCGTGGCCAATCACACAACGCCGGTGGACATTGTCATTCTTGCCACCAACACCTGTTACTCTTTGGTATCAGCAGCAGATTTTATTTCAAATCAATCGCTTTCTGTGCTGCTGGATATAAATTTCCAATGGATTTGTGTTTCCTCCTTTTTTTATAATTTTTTAATTTGTACGCTCCTAAAAACAATTTTTTATCTGTTATTTTTCTTCAATTATTGGTTTTATCTTGCTATTTAATTGATTATTAAATTAACATTTGTCTGCTGTGCAGGTTTACTGGCTGACGTTTTGTACAGCGGTAGTCGGATATGTGCCCGCGGGAAAGTTCAAGCGGTGGCTGAACTCCAAAGTGTCCATCATGTGCTTTACGTTCTTGTCCTCCGCGCTCTCTGCAGTCATCACATACCACAACCCCGAAAACAAGCCCAAAGAGGGCATTTGTGTGGCCAATCACACATCACCAATTGACGTCCTCGTCTTGGCTTGTGACAATTGTTACGCTTTGGTATGTTGTGTTGTCCAGTGCGTTCTAAAAATTGTGCTTGGTTTAGACAAATTTGTTTTAAATAAAAAAAATAGAGTTTCGTCTAAATGTATGTTTCCTACACACTAGATCGGGCAGCGCCATGGAGGATTCCTTGGCTTGCTCCAAAGGGCACTGGCCAGAGCTTCTTCGCACATTTGGTTTGAGAGGTCAGAGGTCAAAGACAGAGAAGTTGTTACCAAGAGGTAATTTCCTGGGAAAATTTATCAATGATTTTATTTGACCAAAATATTTCCGCAGACTTCGTCAGCATGTCAGCGACCCTGATAATCCACCAATTTTGATTTTCCCTGAAGGAACTTGCATCAATAACACATCAGTGATGCAGTTCAAAAAAGGCAGCTTTGAAGTAGGGGGAGTTATTTACCCCGTCGCCATCAAGGTAGAAAAAAATTCAGACGTATTTTTTGCGATAAAATCTTTATTAAAATTATTTCAGTATGACCCAAAGTTTGGCGACGCCTTTTGGAACAGCAGCAAATACTCAATGATGCAGTATCTGTACATGATGATGACTTCCTGGGCAATTGTGTGTGATGTGTGGTACTTGCCGCCCATGCACCAAGCCCCTGACGAGAATGCCGTAGATTTTGCCAATAGAGTGAAGAGTGTGATTGCTACACAGGGAGGACTGGTAGACTTAATGTGGTATGTTTTCTAAAAAAACATACTTTCAAAAAATCACATTTGATGATTGGAAATAATTTCATGTGATTAAAATTCCTTTTCAGGGACGGTCAGTTGAAACGAATGTGCGCAAAGAAGGAGTGGAAGGAAAGGCAACAGGAAGAGTTCAGCAAACGCCTGAAAGTAGAATAAATCCTCAGGACCGAAAGAGGAATAATTTTAGTGATGAGAAGGCCACACGAAGCTGCGACTGTGATCTTAGAGCTTGTGAAATCCCACCACAATCCACCTATGTCCACTTCCCCCAACCATCCGCTGCAATGACAGGACCAAAGATGCTTATAACCAATGTCTTCATCTGTGTTCGAATCCTCTTGTGCCAACTGCTTGAAGACTCTCTGACAGACAGCATTTACTCTGCAAGTTTGAACACTGCCTGCGTCTCATTCCGATTCAATCCCGAAGCAGGAAATTTGCCATCTGGTTTCAATTATATTTCAGCCGCACTCTAAGCCACTCCTAGACAATGTAACTGAAATTATGATTGTATTTTGAAGATTTTCATTACTTATAAATCAACGTGTATCCAATTGACAAAACATATCTCCTTGTCAGCCAAATTTCAACTGGCAAAACTGAAACCTAAATTTTTTAATTAATAAACTTGGAGTGGCTGCGCATGCACACTCAGGATTTCCAAGCGAACCTTCAGTATGAAAGATAGGTGCATTATAAATGCCTTGAGAGTCTAGTCCTATGATGGGATAGGATTGGTTCCATTACCATTAAATATTCATGGTGGAGGTGGTTGTAAAAAGTAATAATTTGTAATCAGCTAATTTATTAATGATAAGACTGGAAGAGCTGGTCTCTTAAGAAGTCATCATTTTAATTTTGGTCTTTCACTGGAAAAGGCAGCTGATCGAGAAAGCAAGAAGTGTGAAATTGCAGCAAGTTATTTTTGTTACCAGTTGGGACTTGAGCAAGTTTTATTTTTGGAAAGGATAAAAATGTATCTTAGGAATTAAATGCGTGTACTATCACATCTGTTAAATTATATTTATGTGTCTATTGTTTTTATTGATTTTGCGTAGAACGATTGTCTCTCTGTTTGTGCACAACTTTTGAGTGGAAGAAACAAGCTTGTGTAATTGTCCATCGATTTAATCTATATTTTAAATTTCATCGATAAACGTATGGATCCTCATTCGGAATAAAATTAATGTCAATAAATAATTTTGTTTCCCAAATAACAAACCTGTTAGTCTGGAAGTTTCACAGTTTGTTGGAAGAAATTAGATTTTGAAGCGCAAGGACAGTAGTTATGAATTTCCACTGAAAATCAGCACGCGACTCTCTAATTAAGCCACCAGCAGTAGTCATAGCAACAATTAAGCAAACACATTAATTTGGTGTCACTTTTTGGACAATATGGTTCAGTTGTCTTGTGTGCGTGACAAGTGACGGAAACTCATTCAAATTTCTCTGGTGTCTGATTTCGGACAAGAATTTAATTCTTTTTACTCTCCCTTTTAAAAATAACGTAGAGCTTATAAAACAATGACATTATTGGGTAAGTGAACAATTAATAACTTATTAAATTTGCATAAAAGCAGTGCAATCAACAGGTGATGAGTTCTCCCGGCGAAACTGCCCCTGAAGGGACCTTAGCCCCTGTAGCCGTTTCCAAATCATATGTGGTTGATCCGCAGGTTCAGAACGTGGCAGTGCTCGTGGTTTCGGGCGTTCTAGGTACACTCTTCAATGCAGCCCTTCTGGCAGGGGCGCTCACCAGGCCCCGCGTGCCTGGAAGTCTCGGTTGCACTCCACCGATAGCAGCGGCTCTCTCGCAACAGGCCTTTGGTGGACTCGTAGAGGTATTATTGTATTATATTGATTAGGAAATTTTAAGAATTAAAAAAAAATGCTAAATGCTTAGAAAAACTGTTGGTAGATTTCTATTTAAAAAATTTAATGTTGTCTCAATGACCACATTAAAAAGCTTGCGTGAGATTGTCACAGAGCTAAATGTGGTGTGTAGTTGAATCGATATTACATATTCATTTTGACACAGCTGCGCCGTTGTCTCTGCTGCTCATAATGAATAAACTTTTCCAATGAACCCTTTCACCCCTAATTTAGTCACCGCGTAGTCTCTTATTTTCAAATTTGTGTCACGGTAACGCCCTGCATTTTGACATTGACAAATATGTGTCATTGTAGATTTAATTTTAGATTCGTTTATTGAAAAAAATTTTATTAAAAAATATCTGATTCCATTTCAGAGCACGTTGACCATGTTCCTGGCCGCGGCCTACAGTGGAGGCGGCCTGACGAGCACCGCAACGGCGCCAAACGACTTCTCCCTGCCTGGCAAAGCCACTCTAATCGCCTCCCTCTTCTTTGTGTCCACTTGTCATGCATGGTCAAAGGCCTCGATGATGGCAGCCTCCGCTCCTGGGGCGTCCGTAGGTTTGGTTCGGCTCCTCATCCTTGTTAGTTTTGGCGTCAGCATAGCCATCGCAGCCACCACAGGCTACTACGTTGGGTCTGACAAGGCCAACGTCAGCTCGTATAAAAAAATGGTTCATTTAAAAAAATAATAATAATAAACAATAATTATTTAGGACGGTTTTGGTGCCCCGGCTGAAACTGGCGGCCATCCCGGCTGGTCTGCGGTGGTCGATCGTGGCCCTTGGGATGGCGCTTCCTTGGGCATTATGGGTGGTTTTCGTTGTAATGGCCATAGTGGCGTCAGCGTCCAACAGGAAAAGCGAAAAGGTCTTCCAGTTTGGTTCAGAGGCGCCTCCGTCGACAGGGGCCATTGTCTCGACCGTTACTATTTTGTACCTGGGCCTCAAACTGCCATATGAAATAGTAAGTTTTTTGTGTAGAACATTTTTTTTTTTTGAGAGATAAATGTGAATTTTAGATTTAAATAGTTACTTTCATTTATTATTTCTAAAAATAATTTTTTTTAATCCCTAAACACCGAATGTTGATGGAGATTTTTTCAGGATTAAATTAGAAGTTAAATTAATGAATTAATTTTCAGAGTTCAATGCTGCAAGGTCCACGGCCGCCCACCCTGCACTCGGCACTGGCCTGGGCGCGCTTCGCCTACTCCGTTTTGTTGCCTATCCTTGTCTTGGGCAGCGCTCGCAGGTTCAAAGCGGCCCTGATCGCTGCCTTCATGTGCTGCAACCGGAGAAAGCGCGCCGTCGCTCCACCAGAGGCTGACCAAGGGGTAAGGGGTGAGCTCGAGGAGTTCTCCGAAACGGAACAAGAGCAAGCCTACTAGTTTAGCGGCAGGTCAGTCGGAGACAAATGCACCTTTGTCAATCGGTTTGCATGTTTTATTAATTTATCTCGGAGCATGAATTCAAAAAAAGGTGCACTTGCCTGCGACATTTTTATTTGCAATAATAACAAAATTAAATTATCTGTATTGACTCTTATTTTTTTTTATTTAATATCAGGGTGACCGCGTCCCTGCATCCTGCCCTATTCTTTTTCAAACGCCCGGAGGTGTTTATCTCAGAAGGGTGAGGTACAAACATCATCCCACGGCGCCAGGTTTTGCCTACGCCTTGTGCGACATCGAGCCGAAAGCGATTCAGAAATCCGACACGTGGGAGAAAATGGACATTTTTATGCGGAGTAGTGCTTTCCTCAAGTGAATGGGATGGAAATAAGTTATTGAGTTTATCAATAAATAAGCTGACTCAACTGTCACAGTTTATTGCAGAAAATCCAACAAGAAGTAAATTTTCAACACAATGGTGGCAAAATGACAAAAAAAGTTAAAAATAAAAATAGTTTTTCTTCTATCACAACTATAAAGTTTCTCGACTTCAAACAACTTTTGAAACCAGCTGCTTCATAACAAAATTTACAGGTGTTTGTGTCTCTCAGCCCTGTATCACAATTGAAGGAAATCAACCGGGCTCCAATAAAATGTAAAAAGTCGTCAGAGAACTATGTTTCTTCCTAATAATCCATAAAATTATTTTGGTAAAAGTGTTATTCTGTGCCTGAACCAGCAGACTACAAGTATATAATGTATAACTAGATTACAGAAACCTGGCAATGAACGGTATATTTACTTTTCCTCAATGCTGAGCAAATTTAGATAGGTGTCAAAAATTGACAGGGGCCAAAATTTAAAACTTAATTATCAGACAAACAAAATTGTCAGATTGAACAAAAATTAAAAGTGATAAATTCAATAGACAAAAAAAATTATCAACACCTTGGAAGCAATCCAAAATGAAGACAAGCGTCGAAGGAGTCGTTGAATCAACTGATCTACGAACACGAAACGTCATCCTTATGTGGGGTCACATAAAAACTGAGGAGGTAGAACCAAAAGTTTGAAAACAAAGGCGCATCTCACCAGCGGACGAGATCTCGGTACTCGTCGTTGATGCTGAGTCTCTTGATGCTCTCGTAACTGAGGATGATGGCGAACGAGTAGACGGCTGACTGCACCAGCCGGGCGCTCAGCCCCTTGCTGAAGATGCGCATCCCCTCCTCGGCCCAGAGTTCGCGGAAGGTGCGCGACATCGAGCCGATCCGCTGCACCTGCAGCCGCGCCCGCACAATGTCCAGCGGGTTGGTCAGCAAGGTCGTTGTGAAGCCACCCATTGTGCCGGATATGCACTGAATCATCAGGTGGGAGCACCCTGACGGAAGCAACCGGTGCAATTCATCTAGAAAGTTAATTTGAAAATTGCAGGTAAAAAGCTAAATAGAAAATTTATTAACGAAATAAATTTGATACTATAAACTTGATGAACGCTTTATGATTCTTCATTGAAGAAAATTATAAAAAGAAAAAGACAACTTTTTGTGTGGAAGAAATTAATTGAAAAACACAAACTGTTTGCAAATTTTGTCAAATTTGGTGCTTCTTTTCTCAATATTAATAACTTTATAATTTTAAAATTGATAACATATTTAACATGAAAACTTGTCTAATATTTATTAAAATTATAGTTTTGCAACGTTTTTTTTTTAATGTTGGTAAAATATAAATCGTTTAATAAGTAAAAAATTTAAGCATTCTTCAATATAATATAAATTTCTTTTAAGGGGTTGAAATTAATTTATCTTCCTTTAATTTTTTTAAACTTAATGAATGAATAAATGAAAAAAGTGAAATTTTTATGGGCATTCTCGTAAAATATTTTGAAAACTGTTTCCCCTTAAAACGAGTTATTATCAGGGCAAATCAAATCGGTAAAATTAAATTGACAGATGATACGCGGAAATTACAAAATAAAATTATTAATTTAAGTCAAGAAATAAAATCAAATTTAGATCACATGGTCAAGGCTGAACTGAAGCTAAAACTGAAACACATGAAGAAGGAAGTTGTTAATAAAATTCAAATAGAAACGAAGCAAGTAAATGATAGGAAAATTGCAACATCTAAAAATAAATCCAGTGCAGCGTGGAAACTTATAAACAATAAATTAGGGAAAAGTAAAAATTCAGAGTATATTGACGAATTAAATATAAACGGTGCTAAAGAATCAATTAAACTTAATATCGCCAATTGCCTGAACAATGCATTTGTTGAACCAGAGCCTGACCTAAATAATATAAATTTAGCTGATTGTTCCAAAGTGACTGATAACCTTTGTAATATGGTACAAGAATTACAGCTTTTTGAGGAGTTTGAAATATATAGTATAATAAATCATCTCCCATCTAAAAATTCATCTGGGTGGGATGGAATTTCAACCACTGTACTGAAAAAAATTTCAATGTATATTACTGCGCCTCTTACTTATTTAATAAACGAGTCATTCCTAAAAGGTAGTTTCCCCGATAATATGAAACTTGCTAAAATTATCCCACTGTTTAAAAAGGGCGAAAAAGAAAACCCTTCAAATTATAGACCAATTGCGATAACATCATCAATATCAAAAGTATATGAGAAAGCCTTTTTACATAGATTGGAAAAACACTTGAACACTAATAATATCCAAATACCTGAGCAACATGGATTTAGAAAGGGAAAAAATACTGTAACGGCCTTATATAGTTATGTAACATCTCTGTACGAATCAGTTGAAGCAAAAGAAAAAGTGAATGTTATCTTGTACGATTTCTCTAACGCATTTGGCACCCTTCATCCACCTCTCCTTATACATAAGTTAAAACAATACGGTCTAAACGAGAACTTGCTCTCGTGGTTGGCCTGCTTCTTATCAAATAGGAAACAATTTGTACAGCTTAAGAACCTTGGTTGTGATAGGTACGAGGAGTTTATTAACTCGGATATATTAGAGAGTAACAGGGGTGTGCCGCAAGGCACAGTTCTCGGCCCAATTGGGTTTTCTATGTATTTAAATGATATTCCTCTCGCTGTGTTCTTGGCCCTCCTGATTTTGTTTGCCGACGACTCCACGGCTATAGTCAAGGGAGAGTCTTTTCCTGAGGTAAATACTAAAACGGTGGCTGTAAATGAAAGTTTTGTCGATTTTGCTAATGATAATTTTTTGAGGATAAATTCAGAAAAATCTAAAATACTACAAATACACACCAGCCAAACAAAAAATCTTGTTCAACCTGATGTTAAAATTGAAGATAAGAGTATAGAAATCTGTAAAACTGGTAAACTCTTGGGAGTACAAATTAATGATACACTTAACTGGAATGATCACTGTGATAAGGTTGTCAATAAAATGAGAGGAGTCTCTCATGTGTTCACTAGACTGAAATACAAGGTGTCAGATAACATTCTAAAATTGATCTATTTTTCACACGTTCAGAGTCATATAATGTATGGGATTGTAATTTGGGGGGGTTCTAGTCATTTAATCAAAGTATTTAGAGCACAGAAAAGAGCGTTGAGAGCCATGGCGGGCATTCCCTACTGGCGATCTAATGAAGCGTTGGATACTTGTAAACCAATATTTGTCAAATATAATATAATGACTGTGCCATCGTTGTATATACTCGAATGTATAAAATTCTTAGTGCAAAACCGAAACCTATTTCAGAAATATAGTGATACTGTAGATACGAGGAGAGTGACTAGACATAATCAGACTAATCTTTGCTGTAATGATTTGGTTGTGAAAGAAGTTAAGCTCAAGAAATCTGTAGAAAACCCAGAAATCATGATCCCCAGAATATTTAATGCATTACCGATATCTTTAAAAGTCCTCGAAAATGACGACGTTCTTGTAAAAATGGTGAAAGCTTTTGTGTTAGAGCACAAATTCTATGACTTGAACGAATTTTATCGTTTAAATAATGCCATGTACACTGACTTATTTTAAAAAGCTGTTATTTACTATGTATGTTATGTGGTATATAATGCTTAACAAAATAAAGAAATCTTGAATCTTGAATCTTACCATATCAAAAAGATACTAAAAAAGTTTCATTATTTAGTTATCATAGAGCTTGGGGCAAAATTGAATCATCATTATTTTGATTGTGAACTTTCAAAAAATACTTGTGATTGAAAATTTTCTCACCTTGGTAAAAATGGTAAAGTAGCCACCACATGGCTGAGTTAGGTACGTATGTGCACAACGAAGCAGTGTATCCTCTGTAGTAACCCTTCAACCCATCCCTTCGGTAAATTTCGGCAGTGACGTAGGCGGCGATTTGGAATTTGGTTCGTCCTTCAACAACCACACCCAGCGGGTTTGTGGCATGACTAGCACCTACATTTGGAATGTTATTAAAATGTAAAAACAAATATTTGACCAAACCAAATATACCTTTGGCTTGTCCGAGGATCATGATGTGCTGGGAAATGACGTCAAAGGGCACCACAATGCTCTGGCCCACCAGAGAGGCAGCGGCGCCTCCGACCATCCCTCGGATCCGCGAGTCCGAGACCAACTCGCGCTCCTTCAGGATGTGACGAACACCTTCGTACGTCGAGATGTAGAAGACACCAGAAATGAGCTGCGCTGCACTCACCTGGATTTCAACAAAATAGAAAATTAAAAGTGAACAAAATTATCAAATAAAAACTGCGTTTAACCACATTTCCCCCCATATTTTTAGTATTCCAGAATAAACTATTAATGAAGTTCTTCTAATTAAAAAATTCAAGTTCCAAATTATTTGTATGTACAAAGAAATTTTATTTGGTTGAATGATTACTTTTGAAACTTCAAACTTTATTCTGAACCACCCTATTGATCTCATTTTTATCTTAATGGAAAATGCCCAGCAGTAATAAAATAAATTCCATCTATCGTAAACAAAAAATGGAGATAAAAAAAATATAAGCTAACCCAAAAGCCCTTGTAGAGTCCCCTCATTCCTTCGCTCTTCCTGATCTGGATGCACGCGTCCATCATGCCCTTGTAGGCCTCGTTGTGTCTCTGGATCTGCAGTCTGGTCTTGACCACCGTCAATGGGTATAGGGCGCACCGTACACTGAACGAACTCATCATGCTGAGGGGGAAGAACTTGCTCTTGTCCATCATCTCCCACTCGATGGTGCGCAGGAAGGGCACGCCCAGGGCCGGACTGGCCGGGTCCAGGCTGTTCATCTCGCCTGAAAACATATCGTCCCGATTCAGTTCAATCTTTTCGCGGACTCGCTGCCAAATGACAATTCAAGGGTGTGATGTAATCTGCAGTCGCACCGAGTTCTCGGCTCACCACCGGCCGTCGGGCGCCGAACAAATCATCAAGGGTTGGTTGATCCGATTCGGCGTCTGCACGCAATTCGACGCTCCCGTCGGCCCATTTTTAGCAAATTTCACGAAAAATGGTCAGTTTTGTTTTGACTTTGACCCATTTGCAGCTTCCATCATTTTCCAGCTGACAGTTTTTCTGCTGCGATTCACTCGCGGTTAAAAACCGGCATTTCACTAAACGTTAAAAAGCTTCACAACTTAAGATTTAATTTAAATTTAGCTCAATTTGTTCATTTTAGCAATTAAATAATATTTTTAACAATAATATCTGTATTAAAAAATTTCATACACAGCTAAAAGTTGATTTTTGCTAGAAACCAGAAAAAAGAACCGGTTAAATACTTTATGCTTGAATAACCGGCGCATGCGTAGTTTATCTGTTGTCTCATGCGCCTTCAAAATTTGGGATTTTTGTGAACTTTGTTTGCTTCCTCTCGATTGCCAGGTAAATTTACAAATTTTTCGTTTTATTTTTCGTATAGTTTGAAGCTCACTAATTACGTTCATATTTTTTTAACCAAGTTCTACGATTTCTTTGGATTTTTTACTTAAATTCGCAGAATTATTTAACTTGTTAATTTTTGTAACATATTTCAGCCAAAAATAAAATCGGAAGATGTTCAATCCTCCCCAACAAGGACCCTCGTCGTCCAGGTCAAGTGGTGGAAGTGGCTTCTTTGGAACTTTCAAAGGCATTTACCAGGATGAATTCAAATGGTAAAATTTCATGAAGCTTTATAATATATTATGGAAATTATGAATACATAGTTTTAATTTTTTGCATGTGCTTTCTCGTCAAGCAATGATTTTTTTTACACTTTTTACTATTTTTATTTCATCCCATCAGTTAGTTCACATTCATATCAAACGAATAATGTAACTCTAATTATAAGAATTTTGCAATTTTTATTTTAAATACTTTTTCATTTCAAACATTTGCAATCAATAATAAATCTGACACTTCTCTAAAAAGATTAATATAAATTTGGATAAATTTGATTTTGGTAGGTCTGTGGTGAAGAGCGTCGCTTTCTTTGGAGTTGGTGTTTGGATAGCCACGGAATGCGCTGGAGTTGACTTCATGTCTCCTGCACCTTTACCATGATCACCTGAAGGCTTTTAACTGAATTTCCAATATTCATTTATAAATATTACGTTACTCAACTCCATATAGTTTCCTAGTCTAATAAACAGAGAAAATTGAAACACAATAACTCCTTTTGGAATTACCATCCTGATTTGAAGCAAAGTCAACTACGAAGTGATGAATAAAATTAAGACTTGTAGAAAATTATTACTCATTGTCAGTCGCATGCTGAATAAACAAATTTAGTGGAACAAAATTGCCAATTTAAAATTGTGGTATTATAATAGGTCTTACGTCATAATTGGTCTTTCCATGTCATTTCAATATTTTACAAAATTCAAAGTATTTTCCTGGTGCTTATTATGATCTGCAAGGTTTTTGGTGATTGAATAAAAGAAGTTTGCTTTTGGTTTTTTCATTATACACATTTTTAATGTCTTAGATTTAGATGCGAAGGAAATTAAGAACAAATACATTTTCATCTCATAATAGTCCATATGTACAACTCATTTATTTAGCTTACGTCAAGTCCGTTACTCATACACACATCATGCGTTGGTTTTGAATTCTCATCGATCAAATCAAAATATATATGTTTAATCATTCCATCATAGAACAATAATTAACCCTTACTATCGATTCCCGTTGACTCGTTCTCGGGGAAGTCTAACATTCTTTTTTAAAAAGGAATATATATTTGAAATATTTACTTTATTCTGTTGTGAAACTTTTGTTTCACTCACAAAGTAGTTGTGTGTGTGTTTTTCGAGAAGTGTGTTTGTTTGTTTGTTGTATTGATTTGTCTGAAGCCTAAAAGGTACAACATTGGGCATTTTATGATTTTTTTGCTTCTTTGTTTTACATACTCCAACTCTGCAGGGCACACGAAAATGTGCCTTCACCTCTATGATGATACAGTTAAAAACTACATTTTCTGTCTCTCTCATCACAATTAACGCAGCTTGTGATATATTATTCCATTTGTATGCTTTAAAAAATTGGTGCTTTTACAGTAGACATTAATTTTAACATTTTTCTCTAACATTTTATGCTTTTTTTTTCAAAATTTTTCAAATTTTCTGGACATAGAGTTTACTCTTATTGTTACAGGCAACTAATGCGTAAAGCTAGGCAAGTACGGGTCGGCTGGGCCCCCGGGTCAAGGGGGGCCCAGCGGACCCGCACTTTGGAAGAAGTGAAATTAACCAAGAATGAAATTTCCATTTGCTCCGTCGTTAATTATATATTAATTAATTAATAATTATTTGTAAGGGCGGGTGAGCCCCACTGGTTTTTCTCGAGTTGCCCTCGGCGCGCCCCCGACCCTGGAGGCTTCGAGTGCTTGGGGGTGAGATCAGTTGCAATGTACACCAGTTCATTATTGTCACTCGGCCTGACCGGGGAAGGGGACGCGCGTCCGAGTTGCTCGGTATTATTATTCCATTTAAAATTTTTTTTGCTATTATTTTCAATTGAAAAGAGAGAAGCGCTATAACCATGCTCTGAGATATATAATTGTTTGAAACACCATTCACGCCATCTAACAGAAGGGATTTTTACGCTCTACACACATACAGCTCTAAAGCACTGAGGCGTCAGGTTTCACCAGTCGAATTCACTTTCTTTCTTTTTTCACAATAGTTTTTTTCAATTAACTGCTCCCGGTTCTCGGAGGCCAGGTCGGCCATGACAGTGGCAGTCACTTTAAGGGAGCACCATTGGCATCAAAGTGACCTTGGCCGAGTCACCCTCCGAGGGAAATAGATCCGAGTGTGTCAAGTACAGTACATTTGTCCGGTGGAATGGCAAAGAAGTGAACTCGGACTGACAGCGAATCTATCAGCTATTATATCTCAATCGAAGAGGGGGGAAGGGCACGAGAAGGAGCAGAGAAGAACAGGAAATTATATATTTTTTTTTGTTGTATTTTTTACATACAATTTGTACTTTTTTCATCATTGTTTTGGAAAATAAAAGAAAAATAATTTTAATATCTCCCATTTGCTTATCAACTTCTTCTTCAGTTATATCGTTATTATTTTGTGATTTATTGAGCCAGAGAATGTTAAATTATTTGTTTGTGATTCCCGAAAATGAGAAATGTTTTGGGAACAGTTGCAGTCTTAGCTCTGGCGGGAGATTTCAGCGTTCATATTTGAAACATTCTTTTTTCTTCTTTCAATTATCAATCGGAGGCGCCACACAAGTTTTCGTTTTTCAAGGAACATTCAGTGTGTGTGTTTTTCTTTAATTATTACAACATAATAATAATCATCATACTGACAACAAGTACGGGTGGGTTATTAATAATGCGCAACAGTTCGTCCAATAGCAGCCCAGGCAGCTCTCAAAATAAGACTTGGCTTTTGGGTTTAAATTACAATTAGCAAATTTTTAAATCTCCTCTCCGCCTGGGCGCGTAGAGTTGGTGAGAAAAACCGCTAGACTTCTTTCGTTTTTTGGTTGCAACGCAGAAAAATCATATATTTACAATTTACAGGGGGCCGTGCAGGCCGCCGAGCAATCAATCAATTCACATTAAATTTCTTCTCTCAATAGGTTTTGGTTGACTAGGAAATAAATATTCAACTGCAGAGAAAAAGTGCAATGCCTATTAAAAATAATAGGGCTGGATATAAAAATTCCTTTGTTTGCTTTTTTTAAACTTTTTTTGGGAAGTGTAGCGCCTCGTACTGGCATTGATTTACTTGTAACTGTTGTAGTGGTGCGCCCGCGGGCGCTGGCTGTTTAAATAATTTGCAGAGAACCGAGGCGTGCAGCGACCTAGACTCTCTCCGGGGTCCCACTGCAATTAGACAGACAGGCATTGATCACAAAAACAGTCGCACTCTTCGTTCAGGCTTACTCGAAGGGAGGCAGGCTAGGCGAACTCGCCCAAGGTAAGACGCGAGGCGGACATGGCGACGCCGCTGTCGCTAGACGTGGACTGGATGCTGCCCTGGTCATCGGAGCTCGAGTCTCCGTCGGAACTTTGGTTGCAGCTCGTGTACCCAGTCACGTCAACCTCATCTGAAACATACACAAACAATCATTTTAGATTTTCAATAAAAAAAATGAAAAAAAAAACCCCAAATATTTGTATTTATTACAAGACATTTGAGGGTAGGTCAAAGAAATGTGGCAAATTCCCTAATCAGAAAAAATTATATTGTTGTCAAAGTAAAAATTTAATCCAATTCAAATAGAATTCCTAAAAGTTTTGGTTCACAAAGAATTGAAGATTTTTTTAATATTGGCGCTAAATTTTGAGTTCAATTTGAGCTAGCTAGGTAAGTTTTAAAAAGTTTTTAAACTTTGACAGCTGAATTTTGGGAGAATCAAACTGTAGAATTTTTAAACGTTTTTTTTTTAAATGTAACACATCTTTAAAAAAAACTGCTATGGTGTTGAAAATTGTTATCACTTTTCACGGCAGAGGCCTAGATTGTGGGGCAAACGATTGTTATTTAGCTGTCACAGTCAACCGCTGCTTCCGAGCGAACGAAAAATATATATGTTTTATTTCCTGAGAGGCGCTTTTTCGCATTTGTGCTTTGTTTTGTTCAGCTGATTTGCGGGGCCCTTCTAAGGCATCCCTGCACACACAGGGCAGGCACGTGATGTTGCGCTGAATTCGCGATTGCCAAGTGTGTGCACAACGCGTGGTCGCGAAAATAGATCAAAAGTCTTCGACTCGCTCCAAGATAAAAAAAAAATCCGGAATTGTCAATTTCACTATAATGCGTCGCGACAACTGACAATAAACGACGCGACATTGCTTTCCACTTACACATGCACATTTTAATTTAAAGGAAGAGGAGAACAAGTTGACAAATTCCGGAGGCTTGTTTTCAGTACACCTCTTTTCTTGCCCTATCATTTCCCGTCTCTGATAATGTGACTAATTAGAAAAATTAACTTCCTCCAAGCAGCGGTCGTCGCTTCCTTGAATATTTTAAATTTTCCCCGAGTTGAAAAAAAAATCAAATTTGAAAAAACTGCGCAATTAATGTTAGGATTTATTTTACTTTATTAATTAAATTTCGCAAAAATTACGCAACTTTTTTGTGAAATTATTTAAAATCTAGAACATTCCTCCAATCTTAATCACGAAATTATCAGTTATTGTTTTGACCCAATCACATTTAAAGTGCAGATGAATTTCCGCAATCGAACTGAATCACCGTCAGCACCCGAGATAAGAAGCCGCTGACGAATTTTGTGCAGCGTTCACTAATTTACAGTCGCGAGAATCCGTAATTATTGTCAACTCTCTCTAAACAAAGTCGGCCACTGACCGGGAAATAAAAACACAAATTTGGCACCTTTAGCACCAACACGTTTGGCTGACCCGGAGGTCACGCTGAGGTCGTTGACGTTGGCGAAAAGAATAGGTGCCGCCGCGAGATGGCGCGCACGACTCTTAACTTTTCTCGCCGTCATGCAACTTTCTATTTCTGTTCTCGTTATGTAAATATTGAATTATTTGCCAAAGAGCAGCCGCGCGCGCACCACCACGCTTTTGCAATATCAAAGGCGCCGAGTAAATTGAAGAAAAGAAAATTGGTGGAAAAATATATACATAAATAAAATTAATAATTTCCATTGCAAATGAGAGGAGAACGGGGTCGGAAAAACAATTAACGGCGTGACGCGGCCTAAGTAAGCAAGCAGGCCGTGGCGTGATCCGAGGGTCACGTGACGGCAGGGCCATATGCTCTTTACATCGGTCGGTGCCAACGCCTAATGCACCGGCCACCGATTTCGTTCGTTTCGCCGCCGTATTTAATGCTCTCGATGGTTTCCGGGGCGGCGGCCACGCAAAGTCCCTTTGTTTTACGCAATTTCTTCTTCCAGCGCCTGACAAGATAATCATTGCGAGCTTTTAGAGCGGCTTTTCAGAAGGTCTGCTGGGACGCGAGAGAAAGGGTTGGCTGCTTTTTGTGCAGCTCCCCCCGAACGTCACTCCAACTTTTGGCATGTTTGAACACCCAAATTTACTCTTCTCCGCGCGCCGGCGATTAAAGTGTTCTGACACATCCTGCGCTGCTCGAGAGCGGCTTTAAAGAGCGCCGGAATTATTTTGGGAGTCAAAAGCTGCGGGCACTTTCGAGATAATTTAATAAATGAAAAGCGTGGAATCTCAATCCTGAGAGTGAAAAATACTCGTTAAAAATAGCTCCAAATGAACCTGGTTTTTCTAATTATTAATGAAAAAAAGAGGACCGCAGCGGGATAGCAAACAATGCTGGCTGCAGGCAAACGATTAAAAATATAAAAAAAATCGTCTAGCTTCACTTTAGATGGCACCTAGAATAATTTTTCTGCAAATAATTCTTAATTTTTTTTTATTGAAATATGAATTTACAATTAAAAATGGATTTTTTTAACTGGCAATGTGAATGAAGAATTATTTATATAAAATAAATCACTGTAGAAAAATTATATTGTTTAATACTTAAACTTAAGTTTACCAAAAGGAGTCATGGACAAAATTTCATCAGCTTTCTATCCTTCAGAGAAAAATCTCCGAAGAAGGTCGTTTGATATTTTTTATGAAAGGATTATGCCCGTTTCGAAGTCCAATTGTAAAATAAAAAGCTGGTACGGCGGCTCAATTTAATGACTGTGCTCTGCCTTAAATAGTCAGAGAAGGTCCAAGGTTGGAATGACCTGCCTCATCCTTGGTCGGGAAAGAATTTCAGAGGAGCCTCCTACGCCTGCTGGCTCGGCGGGCCCAGCGCTGCACCTGCCCGCGGCCAATTTCTGGTGCGATACACACCCTGCTCGTGGATGCGGGCGAGCAGGTGGAATTTCAGGCCTCAATAGGCACCCTCGTTTCGTCCACCTGTTTCATGTGTGTGTACCCGTTTTGAATAATCCCTTTTTAAATTGCCAAACGCGTGAAATTTATTGCGGCCGAAAAACGGGAAACGATCGCTGCTTTTGGGGAAAACGCTCGGAATTCGTATAAATTTACGGCCTTTTGATTGCCGGCGGCGCGGTTTCGAATCATTGTTGAGCTTGGATTTTATCCCCTGTATCCACTCGCGGCTATTTTGAGCAGATTGAAGACTAAATAATTGCTTTTGGGATTGGTCCATTCAAAAAGCTGTCCCAAAAATAGAACTTGTTATATTATATAGATCGGATGTGGGAAAATAAATAAATTGTTAGTGTAAAAATTGCCAAACTAATGACGGACAAACAAATTTGAAGTAACATTCAACAATTAAAAATTAGGTATTTTCTTGGTTTTCTAAAAAATTGATTCCATTTTTTCCAGCTACAAATTGATTTGTGGCATTTATTTAATCAGTTCAAAAGACTTTTATAGACAAGATCAAAATTTATCATCAGCTTTTTGTCATTTCCTGCAAGTTTTTACTCGGTTAACTTTTCGTTCCTTCTGTTTTGATTTTGAAATACCACACACCACAAAATTGGAGTTCGCAGATCCAAATTTTCCATTTAATTTGAGACAGCGCGGCCGCAAACCAACACACATAATCCTCAGGCCGAATTACAGCAGTTTGGTAATTATAGCATACCGAATTACATTCAAATTATCTCTGGCCTAGACGGAAAACAAGTCGTGAACATTTTCGATTCAAACGTCTCTCTCGTTTTCCGTCTCGGATTGACAAACGTCCCAAGGCGCAGCGAGGGAAATTCACACGCGTGATTTTCGAGTTCTCACATCAATTTTGTACTCCACATTTGTGTGTGCTGAGACTCGCAGGGATTCCGTTCGTCCTTCTTTTGTGTGCCTTGGAATAAAAATTCGTGTGTGGAAGAAGAAGTAAAAAAATAAGCTTCATGCAGGCAGGCAGGCAGGAATCTCCTTTGAGAAAACGGACGGCCGGTCGGTCGTTAGATGCGGCGCGCGGTATAATCATAATTCAGCCGTTGATATATAAAAGAGGTGGTGCCCCCTAGGGTGACCTTGACACTAGCGAGCGTGAGCCGATCCTGCCCGACAGCGTACATATAATAATAGAAACACCCTCACACACAAATATTAACCGCATCCACCCTCTTTCCAGTCTTTTTTCTACCTACACCACCCTTGCTTGCCAGGAAAATGTGCTCGAAACGATTTAATCATTCCGCTGTCGGGGCGGAAAACTTTTCTGCTCCGCGTGTTTTATGAAAGAAGAAAACGAATCTCACTCACTTTTCGCTGAGCAGCGCAGGGGCGGGTTTAATTAAAAATTTCAGACAATGGTGTGTAATTAGTATTTATCCCCGCATAAATTCCCATAAAAGAGGAGGCGCGACGGACCGAGCAGCGCCGTGAATTTATCGATCCACCCCGCGCAACTTTCCTCTTCCTTGCCAAGACAAAGGTCTCCTCGGTCACATGTATAGAAGTGAACCCTTCTTCCCTTTTTCTCTCTTTTCCATTCGGTCTCGGAGTTCATCAATTTTGTGTGTGCGGCATTATATTATTGCAGTGCTTGACCTGCCTGCCCGCTGAATATTTTATGAGCTCGCGCCCCACCCGCCGATATCGACGATAATGCAAATGGGAAATTGTGGCCAACAACAAGAATGTACAACAAAACGCCGTGTTTTGATTCCATGTCAAGTGGCGTGGCACAAAATCAATGAATGAGGGCGCGCGTTTGCGTCTTGCATAGAGAAATTTAATATATATTTGGAAAGCCGTTTTTAAAATCTCCCCCTGATAAAATGTGATTACTCTTCAAATTCTGAATAATTTTTTTTCCAACCAAAAGATTCCAGGATTTAACCCAAGGGGTGTGCAAATGCGCGAGTTTGCAAGTCGCAGGGGTGAGTTAATCTTGCAGCGCTCATTCAATTTAATGAGACGCAAAGCCAGCAATTTTAAATCAATCTAAAGTACACTCGTCGTTCCGGCACAAGAACTTTTCCCATAATCTTTGCCAGCCTTTTCGGCACGTCCATTATGCAAATTGACCACTAATGTTATGATTATGTGCGGACCGAGTTTATTTGCAATGCGGTCTGGTAGCTGCTGCTTCTTCAACAGCGAGAGAGTGAGAGCCTCCGGCAGAATAATAATGTGTACGAAGAGAGGCGATTTTTGGCGCTTCGCCGTTTCCACGGAAATAACGGTTCAATTTCCAAACCAAAACTTGATGCCGAAAACTGGTTTTCACGCAAAAACTAATAAGTTATGACAGTTTTGTTTTTCATTAAAATGAAATTGTTATTTAAACAAAAAATTATTTAACTTTCAAAGGTGACCCTTCAGTTTTAATGAATTCCAGGTCATCCCTGTGATCCTCGAAAAATTTTGTGATCTATGAAGTTTCAAAATCGGCTTGGGAAATTTTGGTTAGTCGTCGGTGTCCCGCGCAAAAAGCAGGAAATTTTCAACTACGCGCCGGTTAATTTTGGCACAATTAATGAGAGGGAGCAGTGCGCGCGTCGACAGAAAAAATCTCTCGGCGGCCAAACTTCTTTTCTCTTCTAGCAAGTTTATTTTCGCGTCCGTTTTTAACCCCCCTAGCTGCACAATCCGCTGACTCGGCGCCGCTCTCGCGCGCAAAATGATAAATAATGCATTTGTTCCGATTCATTTGCTCGCAACAATGACCGCTGACACTGAGACGCCATTTTTTCCAATAAAAATCGCGCTGATTTATCGCAGAGGACAAATCAGAGAAAATCATTATCTGCACGCACTGAGGCCGAAGCGTAACAACGTGTAAAAAATAAAAATTAATCTGACAATGAGAAGTGCAGCTGGCTGCAGTCGATATCAGATGCAAATTGTGTGGCGCGCAGTTGCCATGCGCCAGTTGGTATGACTTTGCGCCGACATTCAGCAGATAATATGACAAGGCATACCTGTTCATTAGTGGATCGTTCGTTTCATTGCAAGGGTACGCAGCGTGACTGCGATTAGAATTTCTGGAAATTGCCATTGTTGTTGTGCCGCGACTAAAACCGCCCTCATAGACCCGCCACTTATTTGCATACAACAAACTCCGGCGTGCTTGAGAAATATAATAATAACTCTGGCTTATCTTCTTTCATCTCATTAAGGCCGAAAATGATGCGTGTGCGTCGCCCGTAGCTGCAGCAGCGCGACTCTCTTGAAATTTAATTAAAAACAAGCGGCTGTTAATTTATGCACGGCGTAATTAAAAGCCAGCACCGAAACGCAACATTGTAATTATAATCCACTTTGGAATTTTAAATTTCAGAGCTGCGGTTGTTGGTGCAAACAGTTTTCACGGTGCACAATTCGATGGAAACGTTAAGTGTACTTTAAAATGGTTTGGTTCCATTTTCTTTGGTTAAGGATAAATAAAGGCTTGGTACTAAATCTTTTGTGGCAGGAAATGCCAGTAAGAAAATCTAATAAGAGGTTTCTTCTCATTTAAAATTAGTTTTTGAAGAATAAAAATCCCTAATTATAAGTGTGAAAAGTTGGTTATATTTTATTTCTGATGTGAATTTTAAAGATCAATTTTTAGTATAGACGAAAAAAGAATTTAAGAATTTTGCAAATTACCACGCGAGATTTTTCCTTTTCCTTGCAGACTTTAATGCAATTTTTTTTTTCACTCTGATGAATAAAAAAACCTACAGGAAAATAATACTCTTTGCTTAATATTCCAGCCATTCCGCTCGCGGGAATAGTTTTAAGATTTTATTTTTCAAGCGTTCCGCTCACCCCAGGGCTGCAATCGAGCCAAGTTTGCGCAATACCCTTGCTTGGTTCTGCGGCGGCGGCGGGAAAAGTTTTTGAAATTAATGGCCATCCGTGCAGTCAAGTCATGGCCGATTGCGTGAGAAGCGCGAGTAAAAAATCCCCGCATGCATTAGCAGCAAAAACACCTCGGCCGAACTTTCAATTATTTATCCCTGTGGAGAGCTACAGGTCCACGGCGCAGGGCTTTCGCTACATAATTAAACAAGGAGCGATCGGTTTGCATATATATCCACGCGCAGGTAAATAAATACACGTCTGGGTGCGCGGGGTGCGTGAATCCGGTGGCTGGCTGGACACCGACCGACCGGCCGACTTCCTGCCTCTTTAGCATGGCTATCTATCTATGCATAACACATCGCGATCCAGCCCTCGAGGGACTCGCACGGATAATTAGCATAAAGTTGTTGCTCGTCTGAGAGGGGAGATGTGCAGCGTAAAACCAACTAGCCATCTATCGGCGGGAGTGCTGCCGGCCACAAAAATGCTCCAAAGTCGAATTTCCACTCGCCCTGTTTGCGGTCGGGATTTCGGCCTGGCGTTTAATCAAGCTCAGGGAAATCCTGCGTGACGCGCAGGAATTTAGATTAATTTTTAGCACGGTGCATTACCGCGTTTGCTCAACGTTGGAGCACGGAATTTCGTCATTATAAACGTCAACTGCAAAATTAAATCGCGGAAGAATTCCAAGGCAATCTTTTTAAGTGTCATAGTCCAGAGGGGAGTTCCAAGAGCTGGCTGAGCATTTTTTTTTTCATATTTCATTTTTTAAGGAAACAGGCTTCATCAAAATCTTTTGAATCAAATTCAAGCAAGTTGAAATCAACCAATTAAATTCGTTTTCCAGCATTTTACTTAATTTTTATAAAATATAGACTTTTTAAATTTAAATTCATTTGTTGACAATTGCGCAAGTTCAATAATTTCTTCAGATCAAGCATACTAACTCATTCCGCCTTTTCATCTAACTTTTTCAGCGAATTCAGATAAAACCACCCCGACTTTGTAATAACTCGTGCTAGCAACCATTATAAAAATTCTCGGCGCAGATAAAACGGGTGCAATCGATTGGGAACGACTTTCATTTTGGCGAGAGCGCCTCTCTCGTTAGCCGACCGACCGATCCCCCATGGCTGAACTGCAAATCACGAGCACTTTTAGCATAAAACGGAAATACATTTCCGAGAGTTGGAGCAGAGCCTGGCTACTAATATCAGCAGAAAATCCCCCTCGCGCGCAGCCATCGAATTTCCATCCCCCAAGCACCGCCCCTCATCGCCCAACGCGTCGCATTTTTCCAAACTGAAATAATTTTCAGGCGCAGGTACGCAGAACGGAGCCAAAAGCTAACCCTTGCTGGTCGCGGCAAAAAATCTTGAGAAGGAGAGGAAGAAAAAAGAAAGAAGGATCTCAAGGTTAGCACGAGCTGGACCTGGAGTAGGTTGGACAATGGCGGGCAGAGCATCTCGAAAAGTCAGACCGGCTCCATTGTGGCACCGAGAGGATAATGCATTGTTTCTCTCTCTCTCTTGCTACGGCCGAGTAAAAAAAGTCCGAATTAATCTTGTCGAGCGCTTTTGTCCTCTCAAAGTGATCGCGTTAACGCAGAACGGCCTCTTTTGTGACAGACAGCTTTCGTGGCGCGTGAAAAATTGCCCAGGAGACGCAGCGTTTTCATTTTTCATCCGGCGGCCAAATTGACAATTAATCCACTCGGCTAAAAATAAATTGGAGAACAAGCGGGGATTAGGAGGGCGCCAAGAAAGCACCAAGGAAATTGGATTTTGACCCTTCCTAAGTTAGAAATTACAATGGAGGTGCGGTTTTTTTCACTATGTGCGGAAAGCCTTAATTATTTTATAATATCTCGAATGTGAATATCATCAGCTGCGTTAATCTCAATTAAAAACGAATCTGGAACCTTCGCCGCACGGTAATTTTCTGTGGCGTTCAAAGGGCAATTATCAGAAAGTAGGTAGGCAACACGCAATGCGCGAACGCCAAACTGGCTGCATAACGTGGCTCAGCCAGGGCGATTCCAAGGAGCCCAGATTTATTCTCCAGAATAAATCTACTTAATATTTAGACCTTTATTGAGGAAGGCTCTTTTTTAATTTCTGTCTCCAATTTTAAATAGCAAAAAGGAATTTATGATAAATTATAAGAAATAAAAATAAGATTTAATGAATTTGTTCAAGAAATTACTGTGGTTGGCCAATATTTAAATAATTAACTCAAATGCAACATTTTTAAAAAGTATAAAAGTATAAACGTTGCAAACACTTAATTATTTTCTTCCTAATTAAACAAAACGACTTCATCAAGCATTCAAAAGTAAAGATGAGGAAACTCTCCGTAGTTAACGCACATAAAAAATTCGACGACGTTTCCATCAAAATTTGCCGTCGGATTCAAGGGGGGGTGATTAACGATTCCCCAGGCTTGATTGTTGCAAGTTTCAGCGCCTTTGGAATTCGTCCCTCCATCCATCACCCCCGAGAAGAAGCGAATCTAATTTCAAAATCCCGCGCACGACAATTAATAATAATCAACCGGGCGACGCAATCGTTTTCCGCACGGGTGCGAAACAAGCGCGTGGTTTGTGTGTCGCGCGGCGTCAGGGGGGTAAGAGTTAAGGGCACTCACCAGACTCTGAGACGCTGCAGGCCGAGGACGAGGGCGACGGCGAGGAAGCGACGCCCCCGATGGGCGAGCACTGCAGCAGCAGCAGTGACGCCGAACTGAGCCGCGATGAGCACGAGGACACGCCCGAGCTGCACGAGCTCGCCGTCGAACTCTCGCTGACGGAGCGACGCTTGTTGGTCTGCTGGATGACCGTGCTGGGATTCAGCAAGCCCAGGTTTTCCAGACGTCGCCTCAGGTACCGCTGTTCGCGCTGCAACTGCTCCTTGTGGCTCAGCACCTTGCGCTCGCGCTCCTCCAAGTTCTGCAAAAGGAAATCTTATCATTTCTATGTTTTTGCAAGGAATAAAATGAGTTTCGTCAACGGTTTGGAACGTGTTGTCCAAAATTTATCCCTCACACCGCATTTTAGAAGAGGCCTGAGAATGATCTGACTTCTCGTTCTTCTATCTAATTGTAAATCTAAATCACTAGACCTGTTTTCACCATTGGAAAATCTGTTCAAGATGTGATATTTCATATAATATTTGTTAAATTTATGATACTATTGAAATTTCAAAATGGGGTTTCGTTTGAATTTTGAAAAATGCACAAAATCTACATAATTTTGAAGTTTATAAAATTTTCTGGATTTAAATCCATATTTGGCTCAATAAAAACGTGAGTTACAAGTATAAGAAGGATCAATTAAATTGTTTCTATAGATTTCTTAATACGAGAAGACAGCTGCAGTGAAGATGTTTTATGAGCCAATTTCAATTGTCTCTTGTAGCGGCCAATCCTTTTTAGCACAAAAGTCTATTATAGAAGAGTTGGAGGAAGCAAGGCGTGTTCAAGTTCAAGTTGCGTTGTTCTGAGAGCTCAGAATCGGCCGCGGTCTAAAAATAGTCGCGCCGCTTTTGTGGCGTATTCCAACCCGGACAAACAACAATCGTTTTTACACGTCTAATTAGCACAATTTCAAGGAAAAGTAATTAGAAAACAACTTGTTTAAGAGTACTTGTCCAGTTTGTCATCTGAATTTGTCATGTATGCAGTCTGGCATTCTATGCGTCTAAAGCATTTAATACTTTTTTTTTTAATTCTGTCGTTGCAGCACATTTGGTCCGGCTGACAGACTGAGCTGTTTATTTAATTTTTCGTTCCACTTCAGTCAGCACTATTCTAAATATAGCGAGCAACGGAACGAATCGAGAAAGAAACACAATTCTCCCTCGTTGCAATGTTCCAACGATTTAATTCCCTGTTAGTGTTTGCTGACCTGGCATTGTGCGTGTTTAAGTAGTGCTGAGAGACTTGAGACTATACACAAAAACGGTCCGGGTGGAGTTTGAGACGGTCGTTAGGTCGGACCCCCGCGCTCAGGCCGAAAATATGTATCGGAGGAACATCAGCAATTAATCAATAACACCATTTTCGAGAATTCACGAATCTCGATTATTCCCATGCGCCGTTGGGAGAGAAAAGGAGGAGGAGGAGTAATTATTATTATGTGATGGTCTGATAATAAGATGGGAACAGGAAGGGGCCTAGCCAGCCAGCGAGAAAACAAACGCAGCAAAAAGAATGCATATAAATTACTAAGAGCTCCCAAATAATTATACCACTGCGGCCAGAGATCATGCAGCGGAGATACGTCTGCTTGCTTTCTGGACTTTAATTTAAAAAAAAAATCAGACTAATTTTTCCTCCTTCTTTCTTTCTCGAGCAACCAGTGTGAATTCCGCCGAAAATCGTCTCTCTTTGTTGCCAATAAACGCGCGCTTTTCCGCGAACCGCTCGCGCGAAAATAATTAAAAACTTTTAAACTTTATTGGCGCTAACTAGAATCGGCGCGGTTAATTATCATTTATTGGCTTCTCCGAGCATGACTATTGAAATTTACAGCTCCCCTAATTAGAGAGACGAGCGCTAAAACATCTCACATAAGCGGCTTTTCCCCAAATAATATATTCCGCACAAATTATTTTCGTTTGCAGCAGGAAAAGCAATTTAATTCCATCTATAAGGCAATAATTCCCGAGCTCCGGCGGCGGTTGGTTGCCAAGAGAGTTTGTTTCTCTCCTCTCGAGCCGCTGGAGCAACACAGTAGCAGCCAGCAGGTCAAACAAACGCTACCATTAATTCTGTGGCAGCAGCAAAAAGCGGCCGCTGCCACCAATGACAAATTAACACGCACCTTGATGAAGCGCTTTGCCTTGGTCAGCAGGCCAAGGGTCGTGTGTCGGGACGACTCCGGGCCCAGGGGCACCATGTCCTTGAGTTTCTCCAGGCACGTCCGTAAGTGCGCCCGCCTGAAACACAAATAAGAAAAAACAAATTAGCCACGAGTGTAGAAAAAGCTGACAGTAAATAATTCTGCCTGATTTTGCACTTTTTCTCGCGAGTTGGCAGAAACGAGCTAGACCAGTCTGCCTTCCCTGGAGATAAAGATTATTATTTCGTGTGGGGAGTTGTTATTGCTCACAGAAAGAAGTGGCTAATGGCGTCGAATTCGTTTCTCGATGGAAAATAACGCGCGCGGCCTTGATTGCATTTGGGTAATAGCCTTTTTTTCTTCCGATAGTAATTTCGTTTGTGGCCGCTGATGTCAAATTGTTCACGCTTTTCAACTTTGCCCTGCATCAAAATTAAAAAGACGAAATTCAAACTGTCCCAAATTTGAGATTTTCTCGGATGTGTTGCGAGCAAAATTGATAAGCAGTAAGTGCCTCATTATGTGTAGTTTTCAATATCGAGCCATTCTAATTGGTAATTGGCTATTGGGAATGCCACCTATTCGATCTGTCCAAGGACACATGCAACAAAAAATCCGTCATGCCTGGAACGCATCCAGGTGGGTGCACACCCAGGCCGTCTATTTTACGCGACGGCTAATAATAATAGTAATGAAGGGCCGTGCATTCAAACGTGGAATAATTGGTGGTGCCTCAACCACCATTTGTTCGTCGGTTGGTCTCGGGCGCAGATAAATATACACAGAGTGTAATATCACACACACACTACTAGCGTCTATGTGGCAACGCCGCTCGCTAATAACTACTCCGGCAGCATCACACACTCTTGTGTTTTTTATGTGCGCTGGCTGGCAGTTGCTGCTGCTGCTGGTCAGGACCACAACATTATATATGTGTGTGTACCGAATTTATTTATCAGATCGATATCGTGCACGCTCATAGGCGACGTGTCTGATTTGCCAAGCTTCTAGACCCACCCCACCACGGCCCTTCTTGCGCCCTTCTCTATTGATTTGTATACCAAAACGAAATACCAACAGCTTGAATGTCAATATTCGATCTACCTCTCCGAATTGAACTTTAGGTTGGCATTAATAAGCTAATTCTTATCTCGCGACAACTCCCCATTGATATGCATAATGGATCACCAGAGCTTTTCGCATTGAAAAGTTGTTTGCGCAAGAGCTTGAATTATTCACATTTTCATTTTTCTTGTTGCTCCGACGGCCTCAGCAGCAAAGTTCTATAAAAGGAGCAGCACACAATAAACGCCCACGTCATCCTATAATCGCATTCAGCAGATAGATGTAATATTTTTATTTCACTCTCTCATCCGACGGTTTTTCTCTCTCTCTCCTCTCTGCAGGCGAGCTGAATTTCGATCAACGCAAGAAGTTTGTTTTCTTTTCAGAGCTAGGAGGCTAGGAGCCTTTTTTTCTTCCCCGCAAGATTAATTTTTCCTTTCAGTGTGTGTCGCTCTGTGTGCGAGCAGCAGCCGCGCTGTAAGTGCGCAGTTGCTGCAACGAGAGAGGCGATTTCGCAAGAAGAAGTTTGCAAGTGAGTGAGCGAGTATCATTTTACTCAACGTCCTTGTCGTAGGACTGCGATGTAACGCGAATAATATGATGTCAGCGGCACCACTGTATTATTTTACCCGTGCGCCGCTGCCGCCACCGAGTTCTTGTTTCTCGCAACCGACCCATAATTCTTCGTTAACCACTCTTCGGGTCAGTAGCCACTGCAAAAGCGCAATTGCGCGACATTAAGTGCACATGTGGCCACCGAATGCTAATTTCTAAATTGCTCCGGCAGAAAAAAACAACACGGGTTCTTAATAATTTAAAATCGCTTTAAGTAAAGGACAATAATTTGCTGCTGAGAATATTTGAATAAATAATAAAAATTTAGAATTTGAACTTACAATTAATCTTAAGCTGGCGTCAACAGCTTTCAGACAATACATACTGGCAAGTTGCGGCCAAAATGAAAAGAGTTTTTGGTTTAATTGATTTAATTCACGTTTTTTTTAAATTATGAATTTTGTTGCTCTTCCAACAAATTTCTTAAATATTTTATTCTCATCACAGCATGATAAAACAAAAGAAAAACTACTCAGAATTTTGCTTGCAGGTTTGAACGGGGAAAAAAGTCGTGTCTCCTGTCTGGTGCCATTCTGCTGGCGAAAATTTCGCTCAGATTTCAGCCCCGCAGCAGCAGCGAGTGGAATAATATTAGAGTTGCGAGCAAAAACGTCCAAATATATCTGCTGGTTGATTTACAAGGCCCGCTCGTTGCGGTCGCGTTGCAGGTGGAGACAAGCCAGGAAATTTATTCGGCGGCAAAAAGTGGGGAATATTTCATGTACGGAGGAGCTTGTGACAAAAAGACCGGCAGAGAAGCTGCTGAAATTGAGCTTAACAAAAAGCGCCAAAATGTGCCGTCTCATCGTCTATTTCTGGCTCCAGAAAGTAAAACGGCAAAACTTGAGATATATCAAAGAAAAGTGCGTGCGCCCGAAAGTAAAAGGAAAAAAGAAGAAAGTAAAAGTGGGAACAGTGGCCTAATAATTAGCGTAGTCAATAATTGGCTTAAAATAATCTGGAGAGAAGCCCGGGCAGATCAAGGCACCCACGTGGATCGCATGTGAAAGGATTAGCCTTGGCACGACGGTTTGCTGCTGCTTCTCGGAAAGTAATCCGACAACCGCTCGGCAATCAGCGAAAATATCGCGCAGCGGCGGTAATGAGTGCGCGCGGGCTAATTACTCCTCTCATCTTGGTGGCAGGAAGAAAAACCAGCCAAGGTTTTGCCAGGAATCGTCCTCCAATAAAAGCGGCCGCAGAGTGGTTCTAAAATTCCATCTTTAAAAATTTACAAGTTTCCTTATATTTAAAGTTAGGGGAGATGAAAAAAAAAATAATTGCAAGGAGGGCGGACGGCGTGAAACGAGATTAGAGAAGAAAGTCGAACTCAATATTTCACTCGTGAGTGGCGGCAAACTTGCTTCCATTAGCGCGTACTCTAAAATTCAACACTAATCCCGGGGAAATAATTTGATTCAACAGGGAGGGGCCGCGGGTTGTTTGCGTTTGCAGAGAGAAGACAACTCTCTCATCTCTCTTGTGCGAATGTTCAACCTCCTGGGACGGATCGGGCGGTTTCCGTTTGCGCCCCCGGGGACCGAAATCAGAATCAGCCCAGCCGAAGATGCATGGGTGTTGTGATGGGGACGCCATTGCCAGCGGCCGTCCGTTGCTGCAATACTGCTCATTAATTCATACACAACCTTTGAGTGTCAGCTTTGTTCTTGCAGCGAGAGAAAGAGAAGCGGCCTTCGAGGACCTTCTTTGTTAACCAAGTAGTGCTACGTGCAGCAACATTTTGAACAAAAAGGGAGCAGGCGAGAGCAGCCAGGTAAGAAAGAAAAAAACGTGCTTATTTATATATTCCGAGGGCTATCTGGACGATCGAAAATTTGGCTGCCACAACAAACGCATCGGAGATCTTGAAAATAAAAAACGTGCTGCTTCGAATTTACATTTTTCTCTGTCGAGGTCGTAAAATTTGGCCGTTAGACATAAACCCACACGTAATCGACTTTTAATACCATGTACAACCGTGACCAATTTTATCCGGTTATGATCGAATGGAGCAAAATTGATGGGGATGAGTTGGTGAGAGAGAAAAATTGTATTTCCTAAGGCGTAATTTAGCTCCAGCAACAATTGCATGTTGTTTAATAATTGAATTTTAAGTTTAAATTTAAAATATAGGCTGAAAATCTGGTTTGAAATTTAATTTCTAATAACATACTAAACAAGGACAACCCACAAGATAGATTTTTTATTTAAATTGTAATTTTATCATTCTTTTAAATTCCAACTTTAACAACCTCAAATCGGTGTTTGATAACCCTCAAAATTTAAACTACTTTTTTATTGTGGGAATCTACGGATCAAAACGCAGCAATAAATTTATAATAAAATGCTGTCAAATTTATTTGGTCACGTCAGATTTGGCACAGCAGCAAGAGCGTCGCTCACACTCTCAGCAAAAGTTATCAATTTATTTGGCATGCGTTTATTTACTCATGCACTGTACTCATTCAGCCCCTGCAACCCTGGCAAGGGGGTGGTTTTTCCATCCAGCAGCGCAGCAGCTGCATTCACAGCTCGCACGTAGCACATAAAATACAAAACTCCCCCCGCTGCAGCGAGCAAGCGAGAAAGCGAGCGGGGCGCGCAGCAAAAAAGAAAGTACGAAAGCGCACCAGTATTAATAATCAACCCCCTCGCGGACTTAAAACATTGTGTGCGCAAGTTTCGGGCGGCAAAGCTCAGCCATGACGCGGCGGAGGACACGCGCCAGAATGGCATGCTGTTTATCCATTCAGCAGCTGCAAACGCAACCCTCTCTATTTATCAGGGCGGCTGAATTATCTCACTCCATCAAAGCCGGAATCAAACTACTCGCGATATTATTCCCAAGGAGATTTTGTAGTTTGGCGATGCAAGGCCGCAATCGCCTTAATGATAGATGATTTGCAGGCAGTGACGGCCAAGAAGAGGCTCCAGCGATTGATGGACTTTTTTCGCTCGGTAATTAACGATTTTGGCGTGGCACGATGGCTTAATTACCTTTGCATGCCAAACCACTGAGCGCTTTTAAAGTAGATAGCCGCATCCCATGTTCAAAATTTACATCTCCAAATCGCTATTCAAGAATTAATTTCACGACTTCAAATAAATTTAATGATGAATGGTCTGGAATTGCCAAGTTGTTTCATTATTATATTTATTGTTGTTTTGGTTTATTTGTGGATTCAATTTTATTTTTATTTTAAAAATATTATTGATTTTTGTGAAGTTTAATTAATATTATGCAATGGAATAAAGTTGTGTAAAAACAATTATACTACGGAAAAATTATTCCAGTGTGATTTAGAATGGTTGAAATTTTTCATGAACTTTGCAACTGTTCCATTATTCATTATTATTTATTTTATTGGTAAATTGATTTCTATTTTCCATTTTAATTCACTTCACGAGAGAATTGCT